TGCCTAACACATCATTCACACTTTCTCACAGAATTATGTGAATACGTATCTAATCTTGGTGATCGGTCCATTGCAGAATTAAGAGATCTGTTAATTGAAGTTCATTTTCTCAATGTCTAAACTACAGTTGTGATTGTGGAGATTATTACGTTTTTGATTGAGATCATGAAGCGATTGATGTTATACCACGATTGAAATCCTGGAAACACTGAACGGCAATTTAATTGTACTGTGAGACTCCACAAGAGTGCTCATACACGATACCGCTCGCATGATTCGAGCAAAGGCTCTATCGGTATCGTGCGCGAACGCTTAACCTCTAGAACACTGAGCCGCTGTTTAACAGTGTTAAAGTATAACCGCAAGTGCTCTCAAAGAATAAATTTTCGATACATCAGTAAACTAATTGTTTTAAACTCGAAGTGGCCATTTTCAGAAAAAGAACTCATACCTTCAGTAAACATTATTATCAGCAATTATATACAATGCAAGCACAGATGAATGAGTATATTTTCCATTAAAACTATGATATTCTTTCTCATTTTCAGTATTTATAAGTTATGTCACTGTTGGCAAATCAAGATATCTTCTCTTTTATCCAAATTATTCACTGACAGCCATAATATTGTATATCATGTTCTTTTCAACTTTATTAATCAATACGAATATAAAAATGATATCAACAAGACTGAAAGTTGTATATTCCAATTCCAGTTCCAAATTACCATGAACATTACATTAATATTGGATAGAAATCACAAAGTCTGTTTCTCAATTGTTTGTTTGTTTGTTATTTCTTTGCTATTTCTTTGAAGTTGAACTCTGGACCGAAGGGAACCTTTTTGGTTTAGTTGTTATTGTTAGTTATGTATCGAATCAATTAAAAATGTGTTTGTGTCTATGTAAACTGACTACATGCCTGTATTTTGTTCCAATGTTACGTATAATATGATGATTTGAAAGTGGTGATGTGATTTTAGTGATGTCATTCATCTTCAATTTAGACTACTCTACTTAGATAAAGATTATATGAAAAGAATGATTGTCATTAGAATAATTATTATACATGAGTCGAATATCATGGAGTTGTGACGAGAAGCCGTGATCATTGGAGTTCAATCCATGTGTGCAAATGTGAGACAGTTATTCAACTCAGACAATGAATGAAGACTTAAGAAAAATCATGAATCGATTGAAGTTAAACATCAGCGCTGTTTGATACCGGTTCAGTGGCTCACGGATCAAGCGTTGACGCATGAGACCAAATATCCTAAGTTCGGGTTTGGCGTCTGAATTCGTGGATGCGCACTTCTGAATATCTCATACTTAGACTGGTGCTGCTCTTCTATGCTTCCAGATTTCCAATCATGATGTAGGTAATATCAGCTCTAAAATTCAACTGTTAAAATATACGGAATATTATTATGATCTTTGTAGTCGACAGTACTTCAGAAGAAATTTATATATATGTTAAAAGATATTTGCTTTGAAAACGTATATAGTCATGATCAAAATTATCATAATTTATTCTGAAATAACGGTTTGCTACATGAGACATGCCAGTTAACAGGCAAGAAGAAATTGCTACCGAAGATACAATTTTCACTGTAATAAATTACTCAGTTGGTTTAATATTTTATAAGATATGAATATAGTTGATTTTAGTAAGCAGTGTATTTTCAATACAACAGTTGGCGCGCTCAATGAAGGTTGCGTAGCGACGTGCAACTGATGGTCGGGAATAGATCCATGTGAAGGGATTGCCGTTTAATGCTTCCAGACTTCATATAGTAGTGTGGTTGTCATTCTCTCTCAAATTCAACTGTTAAAATTCAGGTATCCAATAGCGTTTATGTCTACCTTATATCGATCGATGGTCTTTCTCAACGCTCCATCCATTGTCTGAAGTAGACAACACAGATAGGACTACTCTAGTAACGGTTTCTCACTATAACTGCATGAACTCCATCTTGAAGCTAGTTATATAATCGTTAGCAAATGTTCATTTTAAATTCTTGTTTCATCAAATTTCCAATACCAGAAAATAATATAATTGACCCTAATTTATAAAATCATGATCGGTATTACTAATAGAATTTCAACAAATTTCCGTTTCTTATGTTTTGATCGATTCTAACCATCTCCATTTAAATATCAGCAGTTACAAATGAAACAACATCAAGTGAATTTAAATGACAAGTTACATGTTGAGACATCTTGATTGCTGGAAAGCGTAACTGCGATATTCAAGAAAACAGTCTCTAATAACGTATTCATTGGATATAATGATGGTCAACACAATGATTGAATAGAAATATGTTGAAATGAGAATAACATTTATGTCACAAAATCTAGAGGTAATAGAACATCAGTAATTACAACAGAATTCTAGAATACAACAGGTAGAATTTAAGTTGCGGTTGAATGATAACACTTAATCGAATACATTTCATACAAGAACATCCAAAATTGATTCTTTCAAACCATTCAAACCAGTGAAGTTTAAATTCTCATGGTTATTCGTTGTTGATTTGATTGTTCTATGTTTATTGAAACCTTACCGGACACTTGTTTGAACATGTATAAATGGTAGTTGGTTTGTAGTGTTTAAGTCCTTTCATAAGGAGTTGATTTGCGAATTCTCTATCAATTGTCCTTCACATCTTTCGTAATTCATCTTTTTCTCAATTCCTTTATGCATCCATATCTGTTCTGTTCAGTTCATTATTATCAACATTCTGTCGTCAGACATTCCACTTCTGGTTGTTGTTTCATATTACTGATACAGACAGACATAAATAGCATTAAACATAGGTCATGGGATGGATTCACGCGAGACGGGATCGTCGATGAGAAATGTTGAGTAGTCGAACAGTAAAATGAAACAGCCGCTCAGTGCTTCCACGTTTCCATCGTGGACTAGCTTCAATTGGTTCATGATCTCAACTATTAAGCTTACTATCATATACACAAAAACCCACTCTGATATACTTTTTCAGTTTGTCATCGAAGCATTCGAGTATTCAATACTTCGAAATCATTTCTCAACTATATTTCTGATTTTGAAGAGTTCAGCTGATCCAATGTCATAATCATTGTATGGTTTTACACGAAGTGATACGTTTTTAATGGTTCCTTGTCTGTCTACAGTCTGATCGTACAAAGATGTTATAATATAAACGTTCCATTTAACTCAGTATATTATTTAGATAAGTCCTGTTCGTGTGACAGTGATAACAAGAAGCAAAACTACGAATACATTGTGAGAATTTGTCTGGAGCAGTCGCTTATCCACACAGACATTTAGAACGAAAAATAGAGAAGCAAAGTGGAGAGGAGTGGAGAGAAGAAGGCAAGCGATCCTGCTCAAATTCTATCACATATTTTGTCACGACAGTCGGAATTTCCAGTTGTGAAAGTATGTTTCAACGAACAATCAAACATTATACATTAGGGTGGTAGTATACAAATTCTTAAGATCTCAACAAATTTCTCCCTCGTTAATGGCTCCCACTAACTCGACATCCAAATATTGCAAAAATATTCGTTGAAATATCAACTATAGAATCTCAGAGATCGATGTAATGTACAGCTGAATGGATAAAGATGGATATGTTTGCGTTAACGAGTAAACCAACAAGGTACATAACAATGTTTTTACGTGAATGAAGTTTCATATTCATTTACACAACATCTTCTATGAATGATCTCACACTGCCTCTTTAATATTGGCCATCTACTTAGAATCGAGGAATTTTAGATTGAATATCTACTTCACCATATTCAAGACGAATTAAAAATGAGATACGTAATACTGAACAATTCAGTCTTCGGGTTTGTTGACAATATCTGTACTAACATTATTACTATTATACATGATATATTACAGTAAGGAATAACGTCTAATGTATATCATCCTGTAATATGTTTAGAGCGATTACGAGTTCACCTAGACTGCAAATGGAACAAAGACTCTGTGACCAAAAGTAAAAAAGCTGGCTATTCTGATGCGTCATAGCCACGCTCACTAGAGAGAGAATTCCAAGTCCGAAACGAGGAATTACATTCCGCACAGCCAGAAGCACGAGCAATCACGACAGGCACAAATAAAAAGTGTATCAAAAGTGTAAAGCGGACCGAAAGCAATCAACATTCTCCCAAGCGAGATATACGACATGAAGGTGAAAACGAGCGGTTTTTACAAAGTTATGGGGATATGACATCCCTATTATCCTGAGAATGCCACCTACTACATGGAAAATGATCAGCGCTTCGTTCGTTCGCTATTCATCGAGGGAATGACCATATGATGTTCGTATGTAATCATAATTTAAGTGAACATTATTCGGAATACAACATCTTCATTTGTACTCTCAAACTTGAATACGGATTAAGATGGGAATGGATAATATGGTAATCGGACAGCTATGAGTATTAATCATCAGTGAATCTATTCGAGTACTCGTGTTTTTCACATACATCTATCATTCCATATGGGAATACACCAATGGAAACGAATAAAGGGCGTCAGTGAATCGTAAAGTGTTGCGAAATGTTTAGACAGAAGGTAATGAAAAACTATTTATCACCTATTCCTCCAGTTAGATCAATTTGAGTAGAATATCAATGTTAAAGTAATTCATGTTCCTGAACACTATCATTGAACATTCCTTATTGCAGTGAAACATGCGGTATTCGATTTTTATCGGAACATTGATGTCACTTTTTCTTCATATGGAATATTTTGAGGTATTATGTCACACACTGAGTGTGGTTTTCAAATGATGAGCATAAATATTTTCGTTTTTTGATTATTCGGTCGTGTGGTTTGTCATTTTAATTGTTCTTCAATATGCGTTAGTAACTAACCATATTGATTTACTTGAAACATCCTAGAAGAATAGATCACTTGGTTCTGAATAAGTTATAGGTTTTACTAGATTCATATGAACATTGTAGTATAGGAGTTACTTTGAATGTTTATTAGAACATTTTAGTGATTAATGAAAAGCTCATATGTATTTGATAGTTGAATGTACGAGACAATTGAAGCTAGACCAGCGAGGAATACGTGGATTCATTGAACGACTGATTCGTCCTAATGTGGTATTCCCAGTTGGGCACATTCACGATCCGGCCTCCTGAGATTCGAACACAGGACGCGTCGGACTTGCTTCAATAATGCTCCACAATGGATATATTTTTCCAAAGTTACACAGAGCTGTAATGTAACATTTTAGCACAATGTCTGATTACGTAACAGAGAGAATTTCAAGTTGACATTAGTGGGCACAAATAAAGATGAAAATGATAAATCTCCCATTTAATAACTATTCTAATGACAATGATACTTTTCATATGTTCTTCATCTAGGTAAAGTAATCAACACTGAAGATGGATAACAATTATTGAAATCACTTTATACACGTTACATTGTTATCCATTAGGACAAAAATAAACACATGTATTCAGTTTGCACACGAACAAACAAGTTTTTGATTGATCCCATATTAAATCATCAACAACAACACGAAATCAAGAAGGTTCTCTTCGATTCAGTGTTCAACTTCAATGTTCTGTGAATTGGAACTGGAATATAGAACTATCAGTATTGTTGACATTAATGATATCCGTATTGATTGATAAAGTCGAAAAGAATATGGTGTATAATAGTATAGATGCCAATGCATAATTTGGATATAAGAGAAGATATCTTGATTTGCCAACAGTTAAATAACTTAGAAATATTGTTAACTGTAAAATAAATAAAACATTCATAAGTATGAAGATTGCAGTAATGTGAATGGTTGACTTGACGAGTCAATCTAAATTAGATGCACCATTGAAATCCTAGAAACACTAGAGGTCATTTTGTCATAATATGGAACTCTTCATAGTACACAATCATGATCATGTGGCCTCAGTTATCTAGTAGTTAAGTATTCACGTGTGGGATCGAAGGTCCTAGGTTCGAGTCCTGTGTTTGGGATCGTAGATGAGCACTGTTGAAGAGCCTCATACTAGGGCGAAACAGCCATTCAGTGTTTCCATGTTTTCAATAGTGATCTAGTTTAGATCGACTCGTGAATTGAACTGTTTAAAACATTCATAAGCTTGGATTTCATATGCATAATTCGATAACCAGATTAGAATAAGTGATGATATTTCTTGTGTAATTTCTTAAGTAAGAAATATTACCGAAAACGACATAATTGGAGTTTTTCAACTGAAATTATAGGTGAAATTCATTTAATATTGTTCACGCGAATCTCATTATTGATGTTTACGACTGTAATTGATCAGTCTCTCTCTTTAGTGAAATATCTGCATTAAGTGAGGATTGCCTCGATATTGCCTCACTTCACAAGTATTACAAGCGAAGATGAATAGTGGTTAGTAGTGGAACCTAGAACACTCATTTCATCCTGGTTAGCACTCATCAACTGGATGTACTTGAATCTCAGATTTGATGTTAACTCTGGGCCTCGAACCCAGTACCGTTCGCTTAAAACGCCATCACGTTATCTACTTAGCCACTGAGTCCATAAAGCCATTTGCTTGTGCATCCCATCGCCCAGGCAAGTGGCTATCAGTGTTCGAGTCTCAGAGTGAACCCAACTCTGTGATGTAGGTACATACGACTGTTGAACCGTGTTGAAATTTAACGCGATTGGTCCCTTATTTATAAGTTTCGATAGAGCATTGAGAATACGGAGTTGATCAATATATATGCGGAGTTGATCGGAAAAATGTGATGTATTTACGCCATACATTTTGATCGAGATCATGAAACGATTGATGTCAGACCACCATTGGAAATCCTGGAAGCATTGTAAAACAGTTTTGTCTTATAGCTGAACTCCTCAGCAGTGCGTATCCCCAATCCCGCATGCGCTATTCAAACCCAGGACCTTAGGCCTCGCGCGCGAACGTTTGATCTCTATTCCACTGACTCGGTATGTAACGGTGTAAATGTCTATCTTCTATCAACACCTCATACACCATCTGATCTAGATAGCTATCTCTGTCCGACACGTTCGAGTCCATTGGTTATCACAGTTTCTCATCACAATCACATATCACTCAGAATATCGATGTCTGTTCACATTGAACCATATCATGTTTAAGTCATTTTCATTGGAGATCTCAATAAGGCAATGTAAAATTCATTTGAGACAAAAAGTTCACTTCTATTTCTATTGTGAGTCGCGAGGTGGCTACTCTAAATTCTACCGACTGACCAGCTTCAGATATCCCAGTTCGACCCCAATGCTGTTCCCAATCTCCAATATACCAGAACACGAACCGTAGAAGAAAAACTGTTTATGGGGTCAGGAGCAGAATAATGATTTACAAACAAATGCATATTTATACAGTTAGGATTACTATAAATATTGACCAACAGAAAGATGACACGCTAAATAATATTGACCAATAGGGAAATGACACCACTTAACGTTCAAGGATAGCATTAGACTTGACCGGATAATTGTTTTTGGGATATTTTTCTAAGTATCCCAACAATTTCAAAGTGATCATTCTATCAACAAAAAATATACATCAATTTAACTCACAATCAACAATATTATTTGTGCACCTATGTAAACACCGATCGTATAATACTGAAAACAAGAAGATGATTCAATGAATTCATTTCAACAATTCAACATTACATTTACATTGAACAATACTCAAACATGACTATATGTGATTACGTCTGTGTGTACTTCTGGAAGATAAGTCAATTCAGTCGCGTTTATCATATATCGGATTAGGCAAATCCGATTCACCCCTCTTTATGTTGCCTTGTGGAGGGTGGGACATATCTGCATATATTGGTGCTAGGGTTCGTTCTATATCAGCCTAAATTATTACTTACTTACTTACTCACGCCTGTTACTCCTAATAGAACATAGGCCGCAGACCATCATTCTCCAACCCACTCTAACCTGAGCCTTCTTTTCTAATTCCATCTAATTCTTGTTAATTTTTCTCACGTCTATCTCCATTTCCTGGCGTTATATATTCTCTGGTCCTACTCTTTATCTTTCACCTTGAGGATTCCATGTGAGGGCTTGTCTTGTGTCACATTTGGGTGCTTTCCTTGATGTATGTCCTATCCACTTCTAGCGCTTCTTCCTGATTTCTTCCTCCGCTGGGATCTGGTTTGTGTCTTCTGAATGATGGCTTTCGTAGTTCTACAGGTTTCCGCCCCATACAGTAGCACTGTCTTGACATTTGTATTGAAAATCCTGACCTTAGTGTTGGTTGACAGTTGCTTTGAGTTCCATATGTTCTTCAATTGTAAATATACCGCTCTTCCTTTGCCGAACTTCTCTTTCACATCTGCATCAGATCCACCATGGTCATCAACGATGCTGCTTAAATGCGTAAACGTTTTTACAACTTACAAATCTCCTCTGTCAGTTTTGATTGTATTGGTGAATGCTGTGTTGTATCGGAGAATTTCGCTTTTCCCTTTATTTATGTTGAGATCTACTGCTGATGAGACTGCTGCTAAACTGGTCGTCTTCTCTTGCATTTGTTGTTGCCTTTGCGATAAAAGAGCAAGATCATCTGAGAAATCAGTTTAATCCATCATTGGAATACTGTATTGTTGAAGAAGCTCCCATAGTGTTGTTCTGTCCACGCTATCAAATGCCTTTCCGTAGTTAATGAAGTTGATGTAGAGCGATGAATTCCATTCAATTGATTGTTCCACAATGATCCGTAGGGTTGCGATTTGGTCTGTACACGATCTATCCTTACGGAATCCTGCCTGTTGGTCACGAAGTTGAGCGTCTACAGAGTCCTTTATTCTGCTTAACAATACCCTGTTGAAGACTTTTCTCGGTATTGAGAGGAGAGTGATGCCCCTGTAGTTATCATAATTGCTGAGATCGACTTTCTTCGGTATTTTGACCAGAGGTTTTTTTTTCCAGTCGCTTGGTACTTGTTCCTAATCCCAAATCTAATTGAAGAGATTGTGGAGTATTCTTGCAGTTGCCGCTACGTCTGCTTTCAGTGCCTCTGCTGGAATGTTGTCTGGTCCTGCTGTTTTGCCACCTTGATTCGTCTGACGGCCATGCTGATTTCTTCAATTGCTGGTGGGCCAACAATGATCAGGAGATCCGTGGGTTCTGCTTCGATATTGGGTGGGTTCAGTGGAGCTGGTCGATTCAAGAGTTCTTTGAAGTGTTCTACCCACCTGTTTCGTTGTTCCTCAATGTTGATGATCACCTTGCCTTCCTTGCTTTTCACTGGTCGTTCTGTTTTACGGTGATTTCCAGAGAGTTTCTTTGTCGTGTCATACAGTTGTCTCATGTTTCCTTCTCTTGCAGCCTTTTCCGCCGTCATTGCTAAATCTTCCACATACTTACGTTTGTCAGTTCTGATGCTCCTCTTCACTTGCTTGTTTACTTCTGCGTATTCAGTTTGTGCCTCGGCTTTCCCTGCGCTTGTTCGGCAGATATTGATTGCTGCCTCCTTGTTTCTCCTTCCTTGAATCTTATCCAGTGTGATGGTTCTTCTTGTGACCCAGAACCACATAGTATGTTGAAGTGATTGCCTTTGTGATCCCTTTTCAGTTGCCTCCTATTGAGTTGATCATGAAACGCCTGTAATCTTTTGCTGGGGGTTATCTCAAACTTGTTGAGTTTCTCAGTATCCTGAAGAAAGGCCGTATTGAAATTTTGTGATAGTGTCCGCCCCGTTGTCCAGTACTTCATGAGTTTCTATTTCATCTTGACGACCAGCAAGTGATGATCTGATGCTATATCAGCTCCTCTCTTGATTCTCACGTAATCCATCGTCCTCCTGAACTCATTATTGATGCGGATATGGTCAATTTGGTTTTGCGTGTTGTGATCCGTTGAAGTCCATGTGGTTTTATGAATGCGTGGGAATATAGTGCCGCCTATGACCAGCTTATTGAAGGCACATAGGTTCGTAAACCTCTTTTCGTTCCTTCCTCTTAGTCCGTGTCGTCTCATGATGTCTTCATATTCGATGTTGGCCATTTCAACCTTGGCATTTAAATCTGCAATCACCATGATCATGTACTTTTTTGTGCACTTCTCGGCGATCGACTGCAGCCTACCGCAAAATTAATCCTTGACGTCTTCATTGTAGTCGATGGTAGGCGTATAGTATTGAATGACGTTCACTGAAATGCCATCTTTCTTTGTTTTGAAGGAGGCTTCGACGATCCTCGGTCCATGAGATTCCCACTGCTTGAATAATTGGTCTGTCTTAAATCTTTGATTACTGGTGAATAGTATGGATGTCGTGCTTTTATTAAAGTGACAGAAACGTTAACAGCACCTATGCTAATGTTGGTGCTATGAAGTGCATATTCCTCTAACTAGTGTATTTCGTATAAACATGTAACGTATATTACTTAAGGGAAAGCTGTTGTGGTACTCTCTGGTTCTGATACATTTCTTCAAATGCTTATTTATTCATTCTAGTATGTAAACTATGTGTTCACATAGGCCCGCTATGTTCAGTGTTATACGAGAGAGATGATCATAAAACATTCTTCAAAGTGAACGTAATATCTACTTGTGACACGAAAGTGAAGATACTCAATCGTTCAAAGTTGACTACCTGACATGTTAGAACCATACATGCTTTGCAGCAGGACATCCAACTATGAAAAACTGCAATTTACCCACTAATAAACAGAATCATTTATGGATTTGTTCTTTATTCTCTTCCTAAACAATACTTCATTCTTATACAATATCAATGTTTATTGCTACTTTGCTTTGTCCACAGGAATACCTCCTTCTGATAATATGGTTGACATCGCAACCCAGTTGACGGGTATTCTATCTAAAGTAGAGAACCACAGCACAACATTATATCAATCATACCAACCGAATACCCTGCATATCATCTCAATTTACAAGTTCAGCTAACATAACACTATGGACTTTTGATCGATTTCACTCAGGATTCAAATGTTAACAGATGTTGGTTACTTAGTAACTAGATGACAGTAAACAGTTTAGAGTTTATAACTATCAAAGAATATGATGGTGAACATTCCTCATTGTTGTAAAAGTAAACTAGATTCAATCAGGATTACGTCGTTTAGAAATCAAATAATTTAGATCACTACAATACCTTGTAATGTTTCCAAAAACTTAGCACAACCGCGACTATCACAATGACAACAGATATAACCGAAAATGATATTAGAATGCTCATTAAGTGATCTGCCAAATCTGTTTTAATCGCTGCACCAATCAGTAATCCACATGTGAATAATACCAAACTGATTCCAAAGACTGCAAGTTTGACAATAGCATCTAACTGTGCATTCCAAACTCCTAATGCTGTTGCCATGCAGATAGACTGAAAATGAGAAAGAATTTTATAGTTCTAATAGAATACATATTCATTCATATGTGCTTGTATTGTATATGAATGCTGATAATAATGTTTACTGAAGGTATGAATTCATTTTGCGAAAATGACTATTTCAAATTTGACACAATTAGTTCACTTACTATTTATTTACTTGAACACATAAATATTGGTACGAAGGGGCACCGAATACATATTCACCATACATTTCGCTTGATTTATGTCAGGGTTACAATACTGCCTTAAACATGAAGGTTGGATCCACAACGCAATGTAGAACATTAGGAAATGCAGCACCACGGTAGCTGGCGACCAACGATTGGTTCATACGCCATTTGTTCCCTCTAGATCCTGAAGCCCATATGCAACATTGAGTTGATATCAGGGACTTCAAAATCACCTAGGTGGATCTTCAATACCTGTCAACTCTGTGAGATCAAAAGGGCATTTGACTTCGTCCTCTCAATTTTGTAGACAACATCCGCGCCTCGAGAAGGCAGTGAGTAGGATTTCACTGGCATAGGCTGTATATGTGTGGCCATGTGAGAGAATATCGAGAGAAAGAGCTGAAATTTCTGGCATATCTATCGCAACAGATCGAAGATTTCAATCAACTTGTAGATCAGACATCACATCGGATTATTATCTACAAGCTGTACTCTTACTCTCATTTACACACCTTTTATTATATTGAATTATATTAAACAGACTAACAAAGTAAATGTGAAAAGATTATCAGAAATTCTTACATAAATAATTACAAGCGCCACATTCAGTGGATATTTCTCATTTATCTTCTTCACGAGAGCAATCACTAGGGCTATCACAGATGCAATTAAACTACAAAATAAAACAGAAATATCTGTTGAGCATAACATGATTAACTCCTACTGTATCTGTTCCAGGACTCTTGCTGATAAGAAGAAGGTTGTGCGTGGAATCGGCAACCCTATCCTGTAGAAAACAACTTTGCTACAAGAAAACGCTAACCAGAATAAACCTTCGATTTCAAACAAGAATGATGATGCCTCATGATGGGAGCCGAGATCGATCGAAATTCAGGAGGCCGATGTTTCTTTTAACAACCAAACCAGCAATTTTTATGTCTCCTTATTGATTAGCTTATTGTTGTCAGTACCACTAGAAAATGGCATGTTCACATCTATTGTGATTTCAATTGTGCTAAAAATATTCTGCACTGGATACTTTGTACCATTTAAACTCGGGTTGATTCCATCAAACTTATTTGGTTACTGTGGAGACGTTGCTAATATTAGGTGACGAAACATCAGAATTACGACTTTTCTACTCATTGTTTGGAATAATAATAACAATAATATTACACTTTCAATTTATTTGAAGCTATCCAGTTCAGCCTTGACATACATAGATCTTAATCATTCTGCCTTAATATTAATTACTATTGATGATTGATTGAATTCACTTAGTATTGTTGTTTCCTTGTATCTTCCCATTGATGTTCAGCATTTCAATTAATCAGTCTCTTATTGCCATGTGTGCATACTGTGAGCACTGCATCGATATTGCCCTCATTCAAAAGCATTGTAAGGAAAGATAGGTGGTGGCTAGCAGTGGAATCCAGTTTGACGCGCGTTTCGTCCTATTTGGGAGTGATCAGTTGGGTGTACCTACATACAAGTGTTGATGTTCAATCTGGGACTCGAGCCCAGAATCATTCGCTTTACACGTTATTACGTTATTCACTTAGCTACTTAGACTTGATAACGCGATGTTACGCACAGTATGTACATATACATATGTACTGTGACAACCGAGTATGTAATGAAGTTGTTTAAAAACGGGAACTAGGTAAGGATGGCAAAGCAATTGATAAAGTAGTGAAACGTCATCAGGTAAGATGGCAGGGATATGTGTTACGCATGCATATACGTAAAAGACTTCGGATACGTCGGTCAAAAAAGAGACCAGTGGAGGAAGAAATCAGGAATAAGTGCTGGAAGTGGATAGGAACACATAGGAAAGCACCACAATGCATCACAAGGCAAGTCTTCACTCGGAATCCTCAATTCTAAGGAGAAGAGGAAGATCGATGAACACATTACGCCGAGAAATGGAGACAAATATGAGAACAATGAACAAGAACTAGAAGAGAAGGCACAGAACAGAGTGGGTTGGAGAATGCTGTTCGGCAGCCTTTACTCAATTGGGAGTAACAAGAGTTAGTAAGTAAATAGATAACCCTGTAATTAATCAAAGTGTTCAATCACCATCTTATATTCAAGTAAATTGTTGAACGAAGATAATGAATGATTTGTAAAATAAAAATGAATAACATACATCAATAAACCAGCAATAATGGATGGTATCAATTGCCCGCCACTTTGACCAACCATCCCACTACATAAAGACGATTATTATTATCATTATTATTAGTTGTTTAATTTACAGTAATGACGAGAGCATTATGATGACAAATGATACTGATATTTGTATTGCAACAAGTATAAGCACCTATCATTGTGAATGATTACATAATGATAAAGCATAATCTACTGTTTTGGTGTATGTGGATACAACCGTTATACTATCATCATGTTGCATAATATTCATTACATTGATTCCTTCAATGTTCTTCCATCCAAGATTTTCAACCATAGCAGGCATTACTTCCAATGTGGTTTCCTAGAATAAACAATAAATTACCATATGAAAGTTTCATCATAAATGTGATTTATCACTGAATATGCTGTATTCAACGAGAAAACGAGTGGAGGTGAGTGTGGCCTATGCTACTGATGTCGACAGATAAGAGTAGTATGTATCACCAGTCAAAAATGAAATGGCTTGAGACAGAAGTCCAAGAAGTCTAAAGAGAAGAGAACAGGAAGTGATAGGTGTGGAGACGGAAGAACGGTCAAGTCGGAGACGGTTGATTGACATTTTGCAAATTATGTACTTACTGTATGGTTCTCACATTTTACTGAGTTGTTCTGTAATTTAGTATTCAAATACTATTGATTGTCACCCATGGCGTTCTCGTTCACCACTATACTATCTACAATCATATTAGTGGTTGGATTATATTCAGAAATTTATGTCAAAAAAAGTTAATTACAGGAATCAAACTCCAAGGTAAATTCGTTCATTTGTTTACTCTGAAGAGGTAGCTTACATTGTCACGAAGCGTCAGAAGTATGATTTTCTTACTCATTGAGACAGTCGTATGTATTTGATTATGAGATTGCAGAACATCTTAGTACAGTGAATACTTCATTTACAAAATGGTAATCGATTGTCTCCAACCTGACTGTTCCTTCTCCAAGTGTCAATCAATCATCTCAGACTTCATTGTTCATTCGTCTCCACACCAATCATTCTGTGTTCTCGTTATCTTACCTTCGATCTTAGTAACCTTCTACGCCAAGCACTTCACTTTTCACTGATCATACATACTACTTATACCTTTCGACATCAGTAGCACACATCACATGACTCATATTTATGCTTAACAATATTAACTTGTTTCAATAAGTGCTTAATTCTATCACATTTACTAATATATATATATACGCAAAAAGGTACATTCAAATAACATCGTCAATAAACCAGTGTAATGATATAAGTGATTAGCAGAATAATTAATTGATTCATTGATAATATGTCTTTGATTGGGATCATGAATCGATTGATGTTAGAACAACATTGAAAACCTGAAAGTACTGGATAGCCGTTTCGTCCTATTGTGTGACTCTTCAGTAGTGCACATCCATGATCCTGCTCGTAGGATTCGAATCTAGGACATTCGGTCACACGTGAGAACGCTTAATCTCTAAAACCCCATACTGATATTATGTCTGTTAATGGAATAGAAGCTACATTCAGAAATTCAGTCAAATGAATTATGATTACTCAATAGAAGTTTGAACTATCATTTGATCAACAAATTACTCACACTTGTCTGAATTAGGTATTGTCAATGTACATGATAAGGGATCATCAAATAAACTATCATTTAGATCATTTTTAATAATTCACTTCAATTTGAGTATATACAGAAATATGACTACTTAAATTAACTATTCAGTATTATATCTACAGCTTAGATTCTTAATATGACGCCTATAACCTGAACACTTGAACGCTTGAACCCTCACAAGACGCATATGAGAAATCAAAAAACAAGTGAAAGGAATGTTATTCCAAATAGTGTCAATTATGGTACAAAATTGTCAGGAAAAACGAAATCATCATTATAGTCCCCCAATCTGCAAACAGGAGGTTATTAGCATTGTCCAATAGGGAAGCTACACGTAGTGATTCTGGAATATTCTTCTATAAAAGGATTAAGTGAGATATCTACGGCTCTTTCTGAGCTTCTTGTAGGGCTTCCTCGAGTTCATCCCTGGACTGTCCACACATTAGGTAACTACATTATATACGTATATATATTCATATTCCTTTCATTCAAAGTTTCCATTTGACTTATTGGCTACCATTAAACGAGTTACTATTCCCGAGTTATCCTCATTCTATTAGTTGCAGTCTCTCACACTCACAGCCGCTTTTGTCTTGATCTTGTATAACCTTTATTTACTATTTCATGATATGATGAGGTTTGATTTACTTGTATATAAACTCCATATGTCTGAAATACATGATTCATATCGCGGAGGGTGATATTGGTGTCCTAGACTAAACTGTCTGGATTAGGTGAGAGGCTACTATCTCGATGGACTAATACGAACTCAGAATTGATTCTGCACTGTTCATACTGGTTTATGCGTCATTGTCTCTGGTCAACAGTCATTGACTATTCAAACATTTGGAAACATGTGATAAGGTGAAAAGTGGGAAACTACACTATTCCTCTCTCTCTCTCGTTCATGTAAATGACTACTGCCAATATTGTTTTGTTAATCATTGTACTTGAAACAATCAAAATTTTACTTACTAATATTTAATCGTATTACTGAAACTGTTAGTTGAGCAGCACATTCACTCGAAGTGATTATTATTTTCTCTGTGTGTGTGTGTGATCTTTTTTCTTGTACCCTTCCATAGACTACCAATAATCATGATTTGTGTACTGAGCTTGATATTATACACTATTCGTCCGATAGTCCAGTTAGACAGATAGACATGTACACCAATAATAATCGTGTAGAGATGAAAACCGATAGACAAGCGTTGGTAACCAATCGCTACTGATGATAATTGAACACTTCGATCAATATATCATTTCAGTCCGTCGGTCAGTCAACAACAACGTAAAACTTCGTACGTATGTACATCAGTTGAAGTTGTCATACCACATTAGAACAGAGATACAACTGTCGATTCAAATCCCATAGTGGTAGAGGTTGTAAGAGCATAAACAGTAATCGGAAACAATAGGGTTTGAAGATGTTATTCAATGAGTATAATCCACTGAAATAAATCTGGAAAGAGAAAAAAGAAACGGACATGAAGAATTCAGAAGAATAGAATTTGGGAGAACACAGAGAGTGGATGCACCTGCGCCATTGCAAACGATTTTGAGCAATGTCATTCAAGGTCTCTAATCATCGGTTGCTATCGTCTGGCGGATCTCAACCAAGTAGTTCACACCTACCAACATGGCTCAGTGCACTAGTCAATGACTTCATGAATTTGTGCCAAGATTAGATCTGGCCGCCCTTACCTCACTTCCAACATACACCTACACCATAAAGCATCGCTCGTCGGGGCAGTCGGCCGTTTGGCATACATAACACGTAGCCCAGTCATCCCAACTGATGAAGTTTAAACTATTTCGTCAATTCAGTTGCCATCCTTAAGTAGGAACGTTTACTAGCAACTGAAATCATTACTGCGTGGTCTCAAGATATACGAGCAATGCTCCGAACAAACCTATGATCGAATACGAGTGACTAACGAGCATCCTTGACTCTTACCGGCCATGTTGCACTGCCAGATGCAGACTACTTGGTTGGGATCCGTGTGACTATGGTAACCAATGTTTTGAGACTCTCTGTGACATGACTCAAAATTGATCACAATGGGGTAGGTGTATACACTCTCTGACTTCCCTTAAACTATGAGATTAAAATCGCTTGTAATCTTCCTTTCTACGAATTAATTCTTTCTTCCTGTAATATATCCTAATACGCAATCTTTCTTTTATATATTACCACCTCCGAATTAACTAATTTTATGAATCCGCCTAAAGAAACTCCCAAGATAAGTTGAGCGGTCAACACGCTCAACTACTTCACTCCCTAGCATTAGTTCACGTGCCAATGCAACCCAATCATGGAGCAACATTCTGTATTTCGACGGGGAGGATCGCACGTCAACGACAAAGTTAAACAAGAATGGAGAGAGTGGACAGTCCTGATGAACACCACTTGAGGGAATCAATTCTGAGGATAGATCGCCATAAGCTCTCACTCGACCAGTTGTGTTCAAGTAAAGAGCATGTATATGATTAATTTACTTCATTGGTACTGCTTTCAAGAACAAACATTGCTATAAAACCTGTTAGGGACGTTAGATCCTCAGAACTCACTTGGAACATGACCTAATTTTGTGATTCTATTTAGAAAACTTGAATTTCTTTGTCTTCGCGCCAAAATCGCTATTGTCACATTCATTTAATATTTCCCAATCGGGATATATCTGAAATATTATTAGTCAGTTGTGTCATTTAGTATGCTGTTTTGTAACTCTCCCCAAGGAAGGTTTACTGATGTATATATACGTTTTGATTTGTGTTTGTCGTTATCGCTCGTTTCTGGTTGTTTGCGGAATATACTTCCTCATTACAAGCTTGGACATCTTCCTCTGGTTAGCGGCACTGGGACGCATTGAAGACCTAGCTTATTTGTCTTTGATCACCGAGTCTTTGTTCCGTTCGCAGTCTAAGTAAACTCGTAACCGCTTCACACCTAGCAGAACATCACGATCAACACAGACAAATGCCGCCTTGTAGTGTGTCGTCTGAATGTGTGTCTGTGTTCTGAGACCTAACGTGATGTGAATATCTGGTCTATACAACCATGTCAAAGTTGAAAACCAGATTAGTTTTCTCTAGTCAACTCCTCACAGGATTTATTCAAGCTTATATATATCATTTAGAAGTAGATTTCCTTCCATTGAGGTTTACTTGAATCTCAATGTTGTTTGCTTAGACTAGTTATATATAGGTGAGTATGTCTTTACTGTAAAACAATTGATAATCAACTATGATTTGGAAACAAACTTCATATTTCATATTTGAATATGTATAGCATTGGAATTAGTGGAATAAAACACTAAGGACAAACAATTCATACATTAATGATACTGATGACTGTAGCTTACCTGTAACGACGACGTTGAACGAACTGATTTCAATTTCTACGTTGGATCTAAAATACCCTCAGTCATTAGATAGATTTATAATGAATGTTTTGTTTATTCATATTATCTATTGAAGTTTGATCAGGTTTGAACTGCTTCAATTGATTCATACTCATGTATCTGATCAAGGTTCATATGTATAGGGCAACAGTCAATTAGAAACTCAATATAACAAACATGATCAAAATGATACAGAAAGCGCAAACATTAGTGTTTGTTAATTTTTATTTCAATAGTTTTGTGACCAGATACGAGAACTATTCACTCCATTTCATAAGACTTAGATATCTGTTGCTCTATTCATCTTCACATTCACTAGACTACACAAGAAATAATGTAGTGAACGAGAACACAAGCGTTTGAATACACAATTACAGAACGTCTTGGTCAAATCTGACAACCATACAGTAAACACTACATTTGTCAAGAAAGGATAGTATTGCGATGTCATTTTCCATGATATCATCAGAGAGAGATTGGATCTACTTCTTAAATTTCGAATGTTAGACATTATGAGTCAATTGAATCTAGACCACTATGGAAACCTTCATGTTGATCTCCTTGCAATGATTATTATTTGTTTATTTATTTGAATGAATTATTAAATCAAATAAATAAGGTTGTTAATGAATGAGTTCTGGGGATTTAGCATCCTCAACATCCTGAGAATGCAGTTTAATACATACACATTCGTCAACTTTTCGTTCGTCCGCTATTCATCGAGGGCATGGCTATTTCATGTTATTATATAACGATAAGAATTCTGAATAAAATAGTAGCATACTACTGTGTGGTGATTATTCAATCGTGTGGTTTGTCATTTCAATTGTTATTCAACACGCTTTAGTATCTAACTAGATTGATTTACTTGAAACATCCTACAAGAGTAGATCACTTGATTCTGAATGAGATACAGCTTATACTGAATTCACGTGAACATAAAAGTATCGGAGTTACTTTGAATGTTTGTTAGAAATTTTCGGTCATTAATCCTCAACTCATATCTATTTAATAGTTGAATTCATGAATAGGTTGAAGATAGACCAGTATGAAATACCTGAATGCATTGGACGACTGCTTCGTTCAAGTGTGATACTCCTCAGAAGGGTGCACCCACGATACTAACACATGTGATTCGGTCACAGGACCTATGGTTTTGGCGACTGAACGCTTCATCTCTATGCCACTAATCCAGCATCCAATAGTGTTAATGTCTAACTACAACTAATATATTTACTTCACCTCACTACCGATTATTTCCGTCATCTTTACAAACTATCGATTAGATGAATTCACTTTATAATGATATGTGTAATTCACTTGGTACTATGAGTTCGTCTCTATCAGATGACAGAATTCAGTGAATACTGCAGTGCTACTCCACAATTGGACATATTTGCAAACAATACACAGAACTGTCATGTCACACGTTAGTCCACTTCTTGATTACGTAATAGAGGGAAATCATCTCATGTATGATAACTACTCTAATCAAAATGATCCTTAATTGAGAAAAATAATCAACACTAAAGATGGATAACAATGATTGAAATCACTTTATATACGTTACATTGTAATCAATTAGAACAAAAATAAACACATGAAATCAGTTTGCACACACACACACACACAGACACACACACGGTTTTAATTGATCCCATATTAAATCAACAATAACAATAACAACAAAATCAAGAAGGTTCTCATCGATCCAGTATTCAACTTCAATGTTCTGTTATTTGGAACTGGAATATAGAACTATTGGTCTTGTTGGCATTAATGATATCCGTATTGATTGATGAAGTTAAAAAGAATACGGTATATAAAAATATAGATGCCAATGCATAATTTGGATAAAAGAAAAGATATCTTGATTTGCCAACAGTTAAGTAACTTAGAAATATTGTTACCTGTAAAAGAGATAACACATTGGTCAGTATGAAGATTGTAGTAATGTGGATGGTTGATTTGACGAGTCAATGTAAATTAGATGCACCATTGAAATCCTAGAAACACTAGAGGTCATTCTGCGATAATATGGAACTCTTCATAGTACACAATCATGATCATGCGGCTTCAGTTATCTAGTATTTAAGTACACGTGTGTGGGATCGAAGGTCCTAGGTTGGAGTCCTGTGTTTGGGATCGTAGATGAGCACTGTTGAAGAACCTCATACTAGGGTGAAACAGCCATTCAGTGCTTCCATGTTTTCAATAGTGATCTATTTTAGATCGACTCGTCAATTGAACTGTTTAAAACATTCATAAGCTTGGATTTCATATGCATAATTCGATAACCAGATTAGAATAAGTGATGATATTTCTTGTGTAATTTCTTAAGTAAGAAATATTACCGAAAATGACATGAGTAGAGTTTTTCAACTGAAATTATAGGTGAAATTCATTTAATATTGTTCACGTGAATCTCATTATTGATGTTTACGACTGTAATTGATCAGTCTCTCTCTTTAGTGAAATATCTGCATTAAGTGAGGATTGCCTCGATATTGCCTCACTTCACAAGTATTACAAGCGAAGATGAATAGTGGTTAGTAGTGGAACCTAGAACACTCATTTCATCCTGGTTAGCACTCATCAACTGGATGTACTTGAATCTCAGATTTGATGTTAACTCTGGGCCTCGAACCCAGTACCGTTCGCTTAAAACGCCATCACGTTATCTACTTAGCCACTGAGTCCATAAAGCCATTTGCTTGTGCATCCCATCGCCCAGGCAAGTGGTTATCAGTGTTCGAGTCTCAGTATGAACCCAACTCTGTGATGTAGGTAAGTACGACTGTTGAACCGTGTTGAAGTTTAACGCGATTGGTCCCTTATTTATAATTTCAGATAGAGCATTGAGAATACGGAGTTGATCTTATTTATTTATTTATTTGAACACATAAATATTGGTACAAGAGAACGCCAATATATATGCGGAGTTGATCGGAAAAATGTGATGTATTTACGCCATACATTTTGATCGAGATCATGAAACGATTGATGTCAGACCACCATTGGAAATCCTGGAAGCATTGTAAAACAGTTTTGTCTTATAGCTGAACTCCTCAGCAGTGCGTATCCCCAATCCCGCATGCGCTATTCAAACCCAGGATGTTAGGCCTCGCGCGCGAACGTTTGATCTCTGTTCCACTGACTCGGTATGTAACGGTGTAAATGTCTATCTTCTATCAACACCTCATACACCATCTGATCTAGATAGCTATCTCTGTCCGACACGTTCGAGTCCATTGGTTATCACAGTTTCTCATCACAATCACATATCACTCAGAATATCGATGTCTGTTCACATTGAACCATATCATGTGTAAGTCATTTTAAGTGGAGACCTTAATAAGGCAATGTAGAATTCGTTTGAGACAAACAGTTCACTTCATTCTATCAATCAAACATTTATATCAATTTAACTCACGATGAACATTAATATTTGTGTACCTATGAGAACACCGATCGTATAATACTGAAAACAAGAAGATGATTCAGTGAATTCATTTGAACAATTCAACATTACATTTACATTGTACAATACTCAAACACGACTATATAGGACTGAGTCAGTGTGTACATCTGGAAGATAAGACAATTTAATCACGTTTATCGCATGTTGGATTAGGTAAATCCGATTCACCTCTCTTTATGTTACCGTGTGGAGAGTAGGACATATGTGCATATATTTATGCCCGGGTTCGTTCTGTATCAGCTTGAATAATTGGTCTGTCTTATATTTTGTATTGAAAACGATGTAAATGGATTACTGATGAATAGGATGGATGTTGTGCTGTTATCAAAGTGACAGAAACGTTTTCACCAAACATACTAATGTGGGTGCTATGAAGTGCATATTCCTCTAATTAATGTATTTCGTATAAACATGTAACGTATATTACTTAAGGGAAAGCTGTTGTGGTACTCTCTGGTTCTGATACATTTCGTCAAATGCTTATTTATTCATTCTAGTATGTAAACTATGTGTTCACATAGGCCCGCTACGTTCAGTGTTATACGAGAGAGATGATCATAAAACATTCTTCAAAATGAATGTAGTATCTACTTATGATACGAAAGTGAAGATACTCAATCGTTCAAAGTTGACTACCTGACATGTTAGAAAGATGCATGTTCTGTAGCAGATATCCAACTATGAAACACTGCAACTCACCTTCCTGTGGACAGAATCATTTATGGATTTGATCTTTATTGTATTCCTATACAACCTCTCACTCTTATACCATCTCAATGTTTATCACAACTTTGTTTTATCCATATGAATTCCTCCTTCTGATAATCTGGTTGACTTTTCAAATCGGATGACAGGTGTCCCATCTCAAGCATAAGAATACAGAACTACATGATATCAATCATACCAACCGAATAATCTGCATATCATCTAAATTTACAAGTTCAGCTAACATAACACTATGGACTTTTGATCGATTTCACTCAGGATTCAAATGTTAACAGCTGTTGGTTACTTACTAAATAGATGATGGAGAACAGTTTAGGGTTTGGAACTATCATATAATATGATGGTGAACATTCCTCATTGTTGTGAAAGTAAACTAAATTCAATCAGGATTGTGTCATTTAGAAATCATATAATTTAGTTTGCTATAATACCTTTAAATTATACCAAATACTTAGCACAACCGCGACTATCATAGTGACAACAGATATAACCATAAGGGATAATGCAATACTAGTTATGTGATCCGCCAAATCTGTTTTAATCGCTGCACCAATCAGTAATCCACATGTGAATAATACCAAACTGATTACAAAGACTGCAAGTTTGACAATAGCATCTAACTGTGCATTCCAAACTCCGAATGATGTTGCCATGCAGATAGACTGAAAATGAGAAAGAATTTTATAGTTCTAATAGAATACATGTTCATTCATATGTGCTTGTACTGTATATGAATGCTGATAATAATGTTTACTGAAGGTATGAATTCATTTTGCGAAAATGACTATTTCAAATTTGACACAATAAGTTTACTTGCTATTTATTTACTTGCACACATAAATGTTGGTACGAAGGGGCACCGAATACATATTCACCATACATTTCGCTTGATTTATGTCAGGGTTACAATACTGCCTTAAACATGAAGGTTGGATCCACAACGCAATGTAGAACATTAGGAAATGCAGCACCACGGTAGCTGGCGACCAACGATTGGTTCATACGCCATTTGTTCCCTCTAGATCCTGAAGCCCATATGCAACATTGAGTTGATATCAGGGACTTCAAAATCACCTAGGTGGATCTTCAATACCTGTCAACTCTGTGAGATCAAAAGGGCATTTGACTTCGTCCTCTCAATTTTGTAGACAACATCCGCGCCTCGAGAAGGCAGTGAGTAGGATTTCACTGGCATAGGCTGTATATGTGTGGCCATGTGAGAGAATATCGAGAGAAAGAGCTGAAATTTCTGGCATATCTATCGCAACAGATCGAAGATTTCAATCAACTTGTAGATCAGACATCACATCGGATTATTATCTACAAGCTGTACTCTTACTCTCATTTACACACCTTTTATTATATTGAATTATATTAAACAGACTAACAAAGTAAATGTGAAAAGATTATCAGAAATTCTTACATAAATAATTACAAGCGCCACATTCAGTGGATATTTCTCATTTATCTTCTTCACGAGAGCAATCACTAGGGCTATCACAGATGCAATTAAACTACAAAATAAAACAGAAATATCTGTTGAGCATAACATGATTAACTCCTACTGTATCTGTTCCAGGACTCTTGCTGATAAGAAGAAGGTTGTGCGTGGAATCGGCAACCCTATCCTGTAGAAAACAACTTTGCTACAAGAAAACGCTAACCAGAATAAACCTTCGATTTCAAACAAGAATGATGATGCCTCATGATGGGAGCCGAGATCGATCGAAATTCAGGAGGCCGATGTTTCTTTTAACAACCAAACCAGCAATTTTTATGTCTCCTTATTGATTAGCTTATTGTTGTCAGTACCACTAGAAAATGGCATGTTCACATCTATTGTGATTTCAATTGTGCTAAAAATATTCTGCACTGGATACTTTGTACCATTTAAACTCGGGTTGATTCCATCAAACTTATTTGGTTACTGTGGAGACGTTGCTAATATTAGGTGACGAAACATCAGAATTACGACTTTTCTACTCATTGTTTGGAATAATAGTAACAACAATATTACACTTTCTAGCCAATGTTCAATTTATTTGAAACTATCCAGTTCATCCTTGACATAAATACATCTTAATCATTCTGCCTAAAATAATAATTACCATTGATGAATTGTAACGAATCCATATTGAGGATTGAATATCGGTCAAACACTATCAGCAACAACCTACTGTGGGAGAAAACAAACCAAATTCCAGTGGAGGAAGAAATCAGGAAGAAGTGCTGGAAGTGGATAAGACACATACTGGGGAAAGCACCCAAATGCATCACAAGGCATGTCTTCACTTGCAAACCTCAATTCTAAGGAGAAGAGGAAGATCAATGTACATATTACGCCAAGAAATGGAGATAAATATGAGAAGAATGAACAACAACTAGAAAGGAAGGCACAGAACAGAGTGGATTGGAGAATGCTGATCGACAGCCTTTACTCAATCGGGAGTAACAGGAGTTAGTTAGTAAGTAGGCAACCCTGTAATTAATCAAAATGTTAAATCACCATCTTATATTCAAGTGAATTATTTAACGAAGATTATGAGTAATTTCTAGAAAAAAAATGACATAACATACATTATTAAACCAGCAATAGTGAACGCTATCCATTGTCCGGATTCTTGAACAATCATCTTACTACATAAAGACAATTATGATTATTATTATTATTGCTTGAGTAAATTACAGTAATGATGAGAGCATTATGATGACAAATGATACTGATATTTGTACTGTAACAAGTATAAGCACCTATCATTGTGAATGATTTCATTATTAATAAAGCATAATCTACTGTTTTGGTATATGTGGATACAACCATTATAGGGTCGTCATGTTGCATAATATTCATCACATTGATTCCTTCAATGTTCTTCATTCCAAGATATTCAACCATAGCAGGCATTACTTCCAATGTGGTTTCCTGGAATAACATTAAAAAAATGACCATATGAAAGTTTCATCATAAATGTGATTTATCAATGAATATGCTGTATTCAAAGAGGAAACGAGTGGGGGTGAGTGTGGTGTATGCTACTGATGTTGACAGATATAAGTAGTATGTATCACCAATCAAAATTGAAATGCCTTGAGACAGAAGTCCAAGAAGTCTTAAGAGAAGAGAACAGAGAATGTATGGTGTGGAAACGAAAGAACAGTCAAATCGGAGACGGTTGATTGACATTTTGCAAATTAGGTATTTATTGTATGATTCTCTAATTTAGTATCAAATACTATTCAGGGTCATATTAGTAGTTGGATTATATTCGTGAAATTAACGTGAAAAAAGTTAATTACAGGAATCAAACTCCAAGGCTTAACTCGTTGTTGTCAAATAAATTTTTCGTTATATCCCTCTGAGTAGAAAAAATGGTATTTCTAATGTTTCGTAAAGTAATGTAAGCTACCTCTTCACAGAGTAGTTAAATTCGTTTATTAGTTTACTCAGAATTGATTCTGCACTGTTCATACTGGTTTATGCGTCATTGTCTCTGGTCAACAGTCATTGACTATTCAAACATTTGGAAACATGTGATAAGGTGAAAAGTAGGAAACTACACTATTCCTCTCTCTCTCGTTCATGTCAATGACTACTGCCAATATCGTAATTGAAACAATCAAAATTTTACTTACTAATATTTAATCGTATTACTGAAACTGTTAGTTGAGCAGCACATTCACTCGAAGTGATTATTATTTTCTCTCTCATTGTGTGTGTGTGATCTTTTTAATTGTACCCTTCCATAGACTACCAATAATCATGATTTGTGTAGACTATTCGTCCGATAGTCTAGTTAGACAGATAGACATGTACACCAATAAAATAATTTTTGAAAACCTGTCAAATTAGATTTTTTTTTATATGCTATCATCGTGTAGAGATGAAAACCGATAGGCAAGCGTTGGTAACCAATCGCTACTGATGATAACTGAACACTTCAATCAATATATCATTTCAATCCGTCGGTCAGTCAACAACAACGTAAAACTTCGTACGTATGTACATCAGTTGAAGTTGACATACCACTTTACCTCAGGGATACATTTGTCGATTGAAATCCCATAGTGGTAGAGGTTGTAAAGCATACTTTGCAAATTTACGATTGACTTTACGCTATTCAGATTTTATTGAGATAGTCTGTAATTTGTGCTAAATACATTCGATTATCCCCACCCGCGTTCTTGTTCACTACAGTGGTAGAGGATGTAAGAGCATAAACAGTAATCGGAAACATTAGGGTTTGAAGATGTTATTCAATGAGTATAATCCACTGAAATAAATCTGGAAAGAGAAAAAAAAACGGACATGAAGAATTCAGAAGAATAAGATTTGGGAGAACACAGAGAGTGGATGCACCTGCGCCATTGCAAACGATTTTGAGCAATGTCATTCAAGGTCTCTAATCATCGGTTGCTATCGTCTGGCGGATCTCAACCAAGTAGTTCACACCTACCAACATGGCTCAGTCCACTTGTCAATGACCTCATGGACTTGTGCCATGTTTCGATCTGGCCGCACCTACCTTTCTTCCAACATACACCTACACCATAAAACATCGCTCGTCGGAGCAGTTGGTGGTTGTGCATGCATAACACGTGTCCCAGCCGTCTCCACTGATGAAGTTTCACTACGTCATCAATTGAATTGCCATCAATAATTAGTACCTGTTTCCTAACAACTGCATTATTTACTCGGTTGTCCCAGCATATACGACCAATGCTTCGAAGACAACTATGATCCAACACTAGTAACTTACGAATATCCTCTACTCTTATCGGCCATGTTTCACAGCCATAATGTAGGACGGAACAAACTGCTGTGCAGTAAACCCGTCCTTTGTTTGGTAGATGGATATCACGCTTACGCCATAAATGACGCAAGTTGGTAAAAGCTAGTCGAGCGTTCTGTATCCGTGCTGAGATTTCGTCACACACCAGACCATTATGGCTGGTGAAACTCCCAAGATAAGTGAAGCGGTCGACACGCTCAACTACTTCACTCCCTAGCATTAGTTCACGTGCCAATGCAACCCAATCATGAAGCAACATTCTGCATTTCGACGGCGAGAATCGCACGTCAACGACAAAGTTAAACAAGAATGGAGAGAGTGGACAGTCCTGATGAACACCACTTGAAGTAATCAATTCTGATGATAGTTCGCCATAAGCTCTCACTCGACCAGTTGTGTTCAAGTGAAGAGCATGTATATGATGTATTTACTTGATTGGTACTCCTTTCAAGAACAAACATTGCTGTAAAACCTGTTGGGGAGGTTAGATCCCCAGAACTCACTTGGAAAAGGACCTAATTTTGTAATTCTATTTAGAAAATTTGAATTTCCTTGTCTGCGAGTCTTTGTTCCGTTCGCAGTCTAAGTGAACACGTAACCGCTTCAAACCTAGCAGAACCTCACGATCAACAGAGTCAAATGCCACCTTGAAGTCAGGAGACACTAACATTGTGTGACGTCTAAATGTGTCTGTGTTCTGAGACCTAACGTAATGTGAATATCTGGTCTATACAACCATGTCAAAGTTGAAAACTACATGAGTTTTCTCTAGTCAACTCTTCACAAGATTTATTCAAGCTTATATATATCATTTAGAAGTAGATTTCCTTCAATTGAAGTTTACTTGAATCTCAATGTTGTTTGCTTAGACTAGTTATATATAGGTGACTATGTCTTTACTGTAAAACAATTGATAATCAACTATGATTTGGAAACAAACTTCATGTTTCACATTTCAATATGTATAGGATTGGAATCGGTGGAAGAGGAAACTAAGGACAAACAATTCATACATTAATGATACTGATGACTGTAGCTTACCTGTAACGACGACGTTGAACGAACTGATTTCAATTTCTAAGTTGGATCTAAAATACCGCTCAATCATTAGATAGATTTATAATGAATATTTTGTTTATTCATATTATCTATTGAAGTTTGATCAGGTTTGAATTGCTTCAATTGATTCATACTCATATATCTGATCAAGGTTCATTATAGGGTAACAATCAATTAAACTCAATATAACACATAATCAAAATGATACAGAATGCGCATACAAAGCTATTTGTCTGGTATGCATGATCTCAGAATGAACATGGATTATCCTTCACCTTTTTTTAACATCAGTGTTTGCTAATTTTTATTTGAATAGTTTTTTGACTAGATACGAAAAGTGTTCACTCCATTTCATAAGACTTAGATATCTGTTACTCTATTCATCTACACATTCACTAGACTACACAAGAAATAATGTAGTGAACAAGAACACAAGTGCTTGAATACACAATTACAGAACGTCTTGGTCAAATCTGACAACCATACAGTAGGCATTACATTTGCAAAATGTCAATCAATTGTCTCAGACTTCATTGTTCCTGCTTTATGTTCCCGCTTTAACTCCTTGATCTTCTCAACCTTCTGCTCCCAGACATTCTATTCCTCACTTGTCTTATATACTACTTATGTTGATATAAGTAGCACACAATACAACAGTGTATATTATGTTCACCACTCAAATCGTAGTTATCCGCACCTAGAAATAACTGAATAGACACACACAGAGAATGATAATCAATCTACTTCAAAAAGATATTGTCCATTCAGTTGAGTACAGTTGTGCTAAAGAAAAAACAATCGCTAATTCCATTCCAATGGCTGACTGATATGATGAAAATCATTCTGATCTGGTCAACTTTGAAAGAAAATGTTTGACCAATATTTACATTTGTGGTATCCCATCACACTTCTGATCCTCACTAAAATCACTTAGTGATGTACCGTTGAATCAAACAAGGTACCTCTACAAACATCCTATCGAAATATCCAAACAGCATACCGAGATGAATTCAAGGTAAACAACATTAAGCGCTCAAAATATTCTGAGTCCGATTCTCCGTGTCGTCGTTGTGGATCTGCACATCTGGCGGTCCTCATATTAGAATTCGTAACTGTCTACTGCTTCTTCATTTTCAACAGTGGTCTGAAATCAGTTCGTGATTAAAACTATGAAAATTCTATGATTTAGGCAAAACTCTATACTCATTTGTTGCTAAACAGTCGGTACCTACATCCAACTACACAATTGAATTTAAAGAACTTTCCAAACTCAGCACATGTAACAATTACTCTAACTGATTTCAGTGCTCTGATATATAGATCTGTGAATTTCAAACGAAGTGGAGTAGGATTGTTATCACTTTTATTAATAATTGGAATTAAATTTTGATATCATCCGAGACAGATTGGATCTACTTCTTAAATTTCGAGTGTTAGACATTATGAGTCAATTGAATCTAGACCACCATGGAAAACCTGGAAGCATTTGACGGTTTTTTCTTCATATTTTGGGACTCCTCAGCAATGCGCATCCACAATCTAGCTTTAATTGAATCATAATCTCAACTATTAAAAATAATTATATTATCCACACAATCCCCTCCTGATACTTCTTAAATCCTTCTAATTGATTAGATAACAACATTCGCTTGATGCGGTGGGTCAATCAAATATCAATAAACTGTTGAGCGCACGACCAAGGTTTCCTTACTACTGTAGCTAGCTTGGAGACAAACATTTAGAAATTTTTGTGTATCAGCATTGGAATAACGATCGAATCACACAACACCATTTACATACTTGACTCGATATGATATCCTAATGAATTAGAATGTTAAAACATTTGTCATTTTCTTACTAATCCGTAGACTGTTATAATTTACATTCTTGGTAATAAGTTGAGATAAAGCTTTGATTGACAGAGACTTGTAGTGTTATATAATAAACAGCCATCTTAATGAATAACCCATATGAAACGTAAATAATTGGTTCTATTTATTCAATCTAAAACTTCTGCACGTGGATCCTTATTGGCGAAATCGAATTTACTGAAACCTCTCTTGACAAATGAATTCAATAGATTAACAGTCCTGATGTCATACAGGCAAAGAATTAAACCTTTTTGGAAAAATATTGATCAAGAATAGGTATTCATCTAGATATTTGACACCATTATAAAGCTTACAAATCCATAATCATCAATAAACTCAGAGCCAAAGAATACGTTTCACATAGATATTGATTTTGGTGATAAAAAAATCCATCCTGAGAAGGATTTCCAACAGCAACAACATTAAAGTCAGGATTGTTCTGTCGATTTATTATCAAACAATTTATCCCATACTACAAAGTTCGATCCATTTGATCACAATCTCAAATGTAGAACATTTGTAGTGACAAGTAAAAATCCAAGCTTCGACAGTAATACTCTACTAATCATATTGATCTAAACAATTCGATTATTTTGAAGATAATGTGCACAATCTATACCAGTAGATCAAAAGAACTGGCTATCTCTAATAAATATATCTTTCCAAATATAAAAAGACACCAATTTTGTGAAATATAAAGATAGAAGTCACAAATGTCCTGGTACGGTCGAGGGTGAGAAGAGTCCGCACTTCATCTCCAAATGCTCTCTTGCTTTTCACTGATCACAACTGCTTTAAATATTGCAAAACAGAATAAGAAGTTCACTTACAACGGGTACATCATCCTAATGCACAATCCCACTACTATATGATCAACTTACATAACTAAATATAGTAAATAATGTTATTCATTTTATAAAATGGTTTTGTGTGTCATATTAAATGAAGTAGTTCAGTCTCATTCATGATTCGTCAATAACAGCCCACAAGTGCCCAGATACAGTCGAAGATCGTGTGAATCAGCCATCCCTCTCGAAACGCTCTTACATAATCACGTGTATACAACCAATCCCACTCACTTCCTTTTTGCACGTTGAGTATTGTTTACGAAACTGAGAGCACTAAAATCGAATGTTCGGTGTTTTAACTGGGTTAGTGGATACGGACGGTCGACATAGGGGAGTAAAAAAATACCCTAATTCCACACCATTGGTGAACATGGACTCCAGTATCCTGAAGGAACAAATAGTGTATGAACCAATTGTTGATCATCGGCTACTATGAAATTACATCTCTTTACATTGCTTCACTACCTTGTGGATTAGACTTTGAATTCAAAGGGTTCAGGTGTGGCCCACTAAGAAAACCACATATTTCGGTTGAGGCACCCGGCTCTCACACAAATCAAATGATTTATGTGGTGTATATGTATTCGGTGCTCCTTTGTATCAATATTTATGTGTTCAAATGAATAAATAAAGAGAAAACATAGAAAAATGTTCACAAAAATTCATTATCATTCTTTTGATGAAACAATTAACAAATTCATGGTAGTAACAATCATAATAATAATAATTATTATTATTATTATCACTGGTAACAACAACAACAATGATTACGTAATCAACATTTAATTATTGTAAAAGTACAAAAGAAAGAAAAATTCACCTAAAAAAAAGAATTGAATAATACCTATTTTTATATTAATATAAAATTACTAATAATTGGTTGCTGGCTTGTTTTTTCTTTTCGTTCTTTTTTTTTCTTTTTGGTTCATAAATTAATATAAAGTGCTTAATGAGAACAAAGTTCACAATAAATCAATAATTGAGAAAATTACCTACAATACATATACATATACACATAGATAGATAGATAGAAACAGATAGGACAAAAACAAACTCAGAGAGAGGGGGAGCTTAAACCTAAATAATATATATATTCCCAATATAGAATTCAATATTATTACTATTAAGTAATAGTGGTATTACGTAATAGTGTTATGCAGTAGTGAAATATTCTAGAAAATAATTGATAATAAAAGAATAAGAATAAGATTGTACACATTTTTCAGATGAATAATATATCCCTTAAATAAACTATATCCATAGTAACAATGAGTAAGAGAGAAAGACAAACTGATAGATAGACAGACAGGTACACTTGGAATTGAGGATTGATTCAAAGAGGGAAGAACAAGAAGAAGAAGAAAAAAAAGAGGAAATGTGTAGTAACTCGTGTTACACAAGGAGACAAAACAAAAATGAATGAAGAAATGCAACAAACTTTCATATAAAACTTACTTTGCTTGTTGGGTGTGTGTGTGTGTAGTTGTTGTTGTCGTTGTTATGTGTCTATGTTTGGGGAACCAGCTTTCTCTTCTTATTTATTAATAAGTTTAATAATAGATGCATTATAACAAGAGAATAACACTAGTAAAAGTCATAATAATAATAATAATAATACCTAACATGGTTACAAATAAGAAATAAATATAACTATTTAACATATAAAACGCCTATTCACACATTGAGAGGACAAGTAAAAAAGAAATAAGAAGCATTACACAAAAACTATTTATTAATTCATTGTATCAAAACAAAAAATCTTATTAGCAAAAAAAGGGAGGGAAAAAAAGGGGGGAGAAGGAGAGCAGAGCAAAACAATAACAACAAGAATATAATCAAAAGAAGAATGTGGACATGTTAGTGATCATGATGGGGAAGTATTAGAGAATGATAAAGCTGCCCACATATGATGATGATATATATATATATATATGCCATTATATCTAGTATTGGTAATGCCAATGTACAAATAGAAATATAGAATAACCTAAACCTACCTGAGGTTTACAAATGTTAACATAATAATATTAATATAATGAATTGAGAAAACACCTAAATATGGTATGTGTATTATGGAGAATTAGAAGTGTGCATTTTGATAAATTGCAAATATCTTCTCAAAATCCTAACAAATTCATCAATAGTCAAGAAAAAGAAAAGGAAAAAAGATAATAGAAATAAAACAATTACAACATGTATTAAAATAAACTATACAAGTATATGTATACGTATATATGATCACTGGTGACTGGCTTCAAGAGGTATATCCTGAAGTTCTAGTGAGAAACCATGACCAGTAGAGTTCGACCGGATCTGTTGTGAGATAGTAACTCACTGAAGACAATGGCGGATGTATCGGCTCAATAGTCTAGAGACTAAGCGTTCGAGCGTGAAACCAATAGGACCTGGGTTTGAATCCCGAGAGGTGGGATCGTGAATGCACATTGCTGAGGAGTCCCATAATAGGACAAAACGACTGTCTGGTGCTTCCACGTTTTCCATGGTTGTGTAGCTTCAATTAATTCATGATCTTAACTACTAAAAATAATTATGATAGTTGAACTCATGAATCGATTCAAACTAGACAACGTAAAAGCACTGGACGGTACTGAAGATAAGGGTGAATGCCGGCACAATGGTCTAGACGTTAATCGTTCGAGCGCGAAACTAGATGTCCTGAATTCAAGTCCCATGTGCAGAATCGTGAATGCGTACTGTTAAGGAGTCCTGTACTAGGACGAAACAGCCGTCCAGTGTTTTCAGGTTTTCAATGGTGGGCTAGCTTAAATCGACTTATGAATTCAGCTATTAATATATAGAAAATTGTTGGGGTTATCCATCACATTTCACAATCCTTAATAAGTAGGTGGTAGTAGAAATCATTTTTCTATACATCGGAAATTTCATTTTTAGACATACATCAGTGTATTGCATATCAGTAAACTGGTTAATAAGGCTTTAGAAACAATCAGAAGAATCAACAAGCAAGCAGTGTTGAGCAACAATTTAACATTGAGAAAAACATGTGGATAACATCGACCGAGAAAAACAAAAACTAAACCAAATTTTAAACAAGATGGATTATTTTTAAGAACAAAATTCCTGACGCTCCTGGATGACTGTTTCATATTTAATAGATTATCTCTAGATGTGAAACCTAAAATAAACGCTACGTCATGTAATCTGGACTCTATATCAACTGAATACACATTCCCATCACAGCATTTATATTGACAACTGAACCGCCACCTATCTGGCAGTACCTGGTATGGTCAAGGGTGGTGTGAATCATCTATCCCTCTCGAGATGCTCTAACATGACCACGCGTACACAGCCAATGCCAATGCGGGTCCACGCCGCATCCGACCCTTTACATAAATCGAATGATGAAGTGTTGCGCAAATATATTTGGTGTTTAAATAAAAAAATAATAAACTATCTGGCAGTATTTAGCGTTCCACATACGCTAACAGTCGAATATAATTTTAAACGCGTGATTAGTAAAATGGTTATATCTAGGAGATTTGCACATGAAACACAAACTGATTCATTATAGTTTATGACAAAGAAAATGTGGAGATATCATACTGATTACAAACACACTAGGTTGAATCTAGGACACTGAAGTTTCGTAGCACCGGCATCTAATGATATATAATTATCACAAAATGCAAATTAAATATTGATCCAAAGTAGGATGATAAATGTAATTAATGATTAAATAAACACTCTGGATGATACAGGGTAAAATGAGAAATATATTCTTTCATTATCTCCCTCACTCTCTTCTATAAGACGAGACTCTTCATGTGTTATTTTTCAGACAGTTATATATGCTATACTATTGATTTAACTCCTTTTATATACGTGTTGTTAATTTCACCATGCTCTGCTAATGCATGGCATGACAACTTGTACAGATGAACACGTATGATGGATACCAAGTTGGTTGTAATTGTCTAGAATAATAACCTAGTACTTTAAGTAAGTTTTTCATTCAAAAATTGAGTTGACACAACCATGGGTGAGTTACTTAAAGATACCTGTAATCGGAGCTTCGTTTCATGCATCTCCTTGATTTAGGTTCAAGTGCCGAAAAGTCCATCAGTTCCCTCGAGACATAAAGTGCTCTATCCTGATGAATACCAACTACTATGAAACCAATGTCTACCACAGTTTCCTGTGACCTACTTTTAATCACTTAATACACTACTAAAGTGCCAATGAATCGAATTTAGTGTGATTTCAAAAAGCTAATCACTACCAAATGAAATTTTAAGCACCCATACAAAGATTTTTTTTAAAAGTAAACTTACATCTGACAATGACATTCTATCAGTAACATGTGCATATTTACAAAATATTAAATTAGAAAAATCTGTATGTAAATTGATCAGTTGTAGTGTTGGCCAACCATCAGTTTGTAGAACAATTTCATTAAGGAAATGATTTAACTTTTTCAAATCCACTCGGATTGGTGTACAAGTACTAGTAGGAGTAGGAGTAGTAGTACTAGTATTAGTATTGGCAGTAATATTAAGAGTAGGTGATGGTGTTCGATTAAATGATTGATCATCATGAGATTTTGGACTGGATCGTGGTCTATTATATGAATCTTCAGAAAGTGGTGATTTAAATAAATTTGACGCTGGAAAAAATAATTATAATCAACAAATAAACCGATAAATTTATCAACCAAGAAAAAAACAATCTTGGAAAAATCCAGTTATTCAAATTGTCACGATAGTACAATATATAATACTTGTATCCCTTGGGATAGGTAATCAATCAGATGTTTCTTCAGCTCCGACTATGACTTTTGTGACGATATGACCTACAAATTATCTTATTGGTTAATTTACTCGTTCAGTGGACCAATCAGCATAAAGTGTTTAATCGGTTCTCCAATATGATTGGTTAATAATATATATATTATATATATATATATATATATATATATATATATATAATATATATATATATATATATGAAAAGTGGTTTTATTGTACATAGTTATAATTTATAATCCTAAATCAGTTTTTATCTGATGATATTCTAAGAGTATGATAAGATATAGAGTTTACTAAAAGTGATGTAATCTTATTTTGCATTGGTTCACATGTTATCCATGAAAACAAAATGGTGTTAATGTCTAACCACAACCAGTCCACGAAGTTGCGCGACTGTCTTCCATTGCACTGAGGTAGACACCTCTTTCTAGCCAACACGCGTTAGCTGCCCTAGTCACGGCTTCTCACCAAAGACTGAAGGCCTTGAGTTCGGATCCCGAGAGCGGGATCGTGGATGCGCACTTTACTGAGGAGTTCTACAATAGGATGAAATGGCCGTCCAGTGCTTCCAGGTTTTCAATGATGGTCTAACATCAATCGGTTCATGATCTCAATCAAAAACCTAACAATCTCTACAACCCATAAACTGAAAACAAAATGGAGTTACCTATTTTTACAACGATAGAATTATTGTAATTAACATGCATGTTTTAGACTAATTTGAAATGATTAGTGATAAGTCTTCTAAGTAAACGTTAGATTCGGTTCTCAAGCTCTTCTAGTAACCACTAGACTAGATCTACAAAACAACTTAAACATGGGAGAAAAGACGCGAGATATGGAAGAAACGCTTTATATCCCAAAGGTTCGTTTATGTGCAAAAAATCTAGTTTGTAAGGTATTTTAGTTGGCCTTGGGTTTTTGAAAAATTCTGAAATGCTACTAAACATAATATGAGTAATTATCCAATCAAAAACTCGACATGTGACTTCTAATGAATACTTATTGGATAAGATGCTTCTCATTGTTTTCAGAGCCTTTCTTGGCTTTTTTCGAGGAGTTTCCTAGATCTTCCCAACAATTAGTAACCATAAATTCCAACTATAAGTACTGACGTAATATTAGAGAAGGCTTGAAAATTATTGTGTTAATAAATACTGCTACTGACTCTTTTATTCAAAGTCACGTATTGATAACGTCATAAGTCATTGTATGACATCATCATATCTAGGACCTCAAGTGGGAAGTAGTGATGGATCAACACACAAATACCTGTCCTATATAACCAGTATTCACATTAAGGTAGTATGATATGAAATGATAACATCTGCGCTTTTCTCAAAGAAGTTCGACTGTCAATACTACCACAAATACAATATACATTTACAGCATAAAAGCCCTAATACATGGAGATCCACCTGGTTACAATTGAGCTGATCTATTCTGTAACCAGTGATTAATAATAATAATAATAATAATAATAATAATAATAATAATAATAATAATAATAATAATAATAATAATTACTGAGTAAAACATACACTGTTCATTAGATGTCAATTGAGAAGGTTCAGATTCATTTTCTTCAAATGATTTTATCAAAGTAGGCTGTTTAATTGAATAAGAAAAGAGAAAACTACGATATATAAGTGAGTAAAAATGTCATACACATACACAAACGTCCAAAAAGAGGTTTATAGTTAATAGTGGGAAAATAATCCACTAAGAAGAGATATATGTTGAATAGCAGCGGAATTCATAATGCGTATCTTTTCCCCATGTATAAGACATGTCCGTTAGATTTACGGTACACATTAGACTAAGGAGTATAAATAACCATGAATTTGTTCGATGGGTATGATATTTACATCCTGTTGTTGATATATTCAGGAATGGATTTTCTATCAGTTATTGCTTTTAATAATATATTAAATGTAAAGACGAGTGTTACTCTCTAATTTTTTGAACCTTGGAGTGATTATTTGGATTCTCAGCAGTGATGACGTAATAGAACTACAACACTCGTTCCTTTGGGTCTTATGATGCTAAGTGCGTAGGTTGGAGGACGGTAAGTATAAAAAAATCAATCCTAAGGTTTAAGGGTGTGACAGAAGCAAGGTGTTACCCTCAAATAATGAGCATCTTGAATGATGATGCTTTCTCATAACAGAAGGAGAAAGTGAGTCCTTCTCGATCTTTTACCGAAATACATTTTATTCCTGACTATCATTATATACTACTTCTGTGGATATAAGCAGCTTACATCACGCTACTATTCGAGTTAGTTAACATGAGCACTTCCACAAATCCTTTATTCCATTGTTAGAAAGATTCCTTGAATTGTTTTAAATCATGGAAAAATACATAAAAAAGAATAACTCAAAAGTCACAATTTATTTGTTAACTTACTCCAGGAGATGACCATGTATCAATATCGCAGTCTAATTCACTTGATTGTAACTTTGATGGACTTTTTAATGAAGAATTAGATGACGTCGTACGATGACGCCTGTTCGATGACTGTAATTGAAGAATATCACTGAGTTCTAGAATAGGTGATTGACCCTGAATGTAAAGTGGGATAAACAAAAGTTTATCTAAATCTAATTTTTTCAGAAGCTCATCACTGACTGCATGATGATCTAATAGAAATCACTAAGTAGCCTAAAGTTGACGGCTAACGGCGAAGACTGTGTCGTTTATCAGACCTATGAGATTGGAGGGTTTTCTTTATACCCTATCAGTGTGACTGATTATTTTGCGTACCTAGGTATATGGTTCAATTATCATGGTATTATACAAAAACCTATAATTACGATGACTGTGTTAAGGAAGATCATGGACTCTCCATTATCAGCAATTCAACGAATGGCGGTACTAAAGCAGTATGTCATACCGAAACTTCAGTATGTGGGCCAGATCGGCTTGGTACGTAAAACAGAGATTGAAAAGTAAGCAAGTATGACAACGGCTGCGATCACCATACGACACGGTTGTTAGTTATTTTTATGCTCGTGTGAGCGACAGTGGAATTGGTATTGAGTCCATTTATATACAATCATTCCAATCCGACGGTTTCAACGATTCATCTCGTTGAATTCACGAAGTTGCTCTTGGCGGATTGGTGGTGTCCAATTAGGATGGCATGTATAATGCGTGGAAAACACAACTGTATGACACTCAAGATGGTAGTGGCCTTGGAAGCCCAAGCCAGAGCACATCATCGCACTTATGGGTTGTGTCCAGCGGTTGCGTATCGCCAGGCATAATAGAGTAATGTCAGGATCATAGGGTAATTTTCTCATGAATAACTAATATATCCATCAATAATGTAAGGACCAACAAAAGGCAAGAGACGATAAAAAACTTGCATACAAAAGTTCCCTAAAGATCTTGAATAAGCCAATTTATAAATCATTACATTTCCCATTTTTTATCCCATTAGGATCACTATCTTCACACTTACATGCAACCTCCGACTATAACGATAACCTTGTGGAAGAGGTAATGATGGCTTCACACCAGTCCCTTGAGATGTTTGATCCGTCCCCTTGAAGCATTGATGTTCTGATCCTTTGACTTTTGAATGACGCATCGAGGTCGAAGAAGTTTTAGTTAGTTGGGCATGAGACAAACGTGCTGCACGTGCTTGAGTTGCCTACAATCAATTGCAATTTAAACGCATACATTAAATTCAGCACACACACACGTAAACAACAACTTTAAAGAAAAGTACACATAGTTGTCAATCTATAAAGAAACAAATTGAAGAGAACGTTCTTCGTGTGTTTTAGTAAAAATCTATGTAACTTATACAATGCTACTAACATCTCAACACACCACACGAGTCAGTCAGTTTGGTAGCTACATTGAAAATTCACTGACAGAATCTTATCAGCACTGAAGATACGAAATAAACATGACAATGCTCAGTAACTAATCAAGTGTAAACAACTCAATCCTTTCGTAGAGTAGTCAACAATCAAACAGCTCAGTAGTAACACCTTACCTTAAAGCGGACGCTAAACCCACCTCAAGTGCTCCTGTATTTCTCATGAATGTTTCTCAAACAACACGACACTTAGATTGAGCGGGACTTCCTGTCGACTAACCCTAACTTCCTAATCGACTGAAAACTACCAATAAAAAAACTATTTTACTGGTATATCATTTAAGATTTTTAATGATTAGTAAATGATTGTAATGTAATGTGCTATGGAGTACAGACAGAAGCAATAACAATTGTGATATACATACCTCTTCACATAATTCATTCAAATCAACAGGTTGCAATTCTTCTTCCATGCGTAAACATGCTTCATCCCAAAATTCAGATGCTCTAGAACGAATATCTCGACTTCGTGGTATATTCGGTGGATTATATTCCAATGCATTCAGATAGACTAATTCTACATCCTTGTAAAAGTATGCAGACAAAAATAAAAGCGAAGAAAACACAAACCAAAGTGCAATTTAATAACTTTTTATTATAAGCCATAGTGTAAGAATGGTCTGCTAAATGACATGTTATTGAGTTTGTACTTTTAAACAACATGATGAAGTTTCAAAATGGTAAGAAAGATGGTAGAATAAACGTAACAAATACATCGAAAGTCATTTGACATGGATATAAATTATTATAGAGTAGACTACTGTACTCTGAGAGTCAGAGATGTTATGATGGGGGAGAATAAATGAAAATGTGAAACTTCGGAGATCATTCTCTGTGTGAGTTAACGCATTTTTCAGGTTGTGCAGAAACCATTTTAGTGAACTCATCGTAGCGGTATCCTCCATTGAGTGTGTGTATAAAAGTGAGTGAACATTAACTTTCCTTTTTGTCCGCTCAATGTATGTGCTTCAGGACCCACACATAGATTGGTATACACAACTAGGGGTAACATAAGGTGAGTGCTTATCCACATATGAAGGTATTAACGCGCACCTTGTTTGATATATTGAAACTAGTTTTGCTGCTGGATAAGTCTATTTTCAATGAAGCCCTTAGTCTATGCTCAACCTTACATTTTAAACCAAGTCGAGTGAAATCACGTTTTTCCTTCACTGTGGCACACTCCGTTACTGTCATTATTATCTTCTCATATATATTGATCAACTTGCATGGATAACCATTAACCTTTTGACACTTTTCAACAGTGATTAATTCTCGTCAATCATGTCATCTAAGCATAATTTCGATACTCGATTGAATAGATTTTTAAGTAAATCTCATTTAGTTTCATCTATGATAATGACGTTATGGAAGGTTTATTTTTGATTGATATAGTCTCGATAGCATTCATTACTTCAAATAGGAAATGCAACCCTATTGTACTACATTCTGAAATACTCAATGAAGTGATAAGTAACCTAAATGTACAGAATCAATAGTTTTGTTGTGAAATATATGCTTCAAGACGAAAAATTGTAGTGAAGAGGTGTAAACATGTTTTTATTAACTAATTGGTGTTGTTCATCCAAGCACGTAAACATTCATGGATGCTCCAGACAAGGAATGTTTTAAAAGACTTACAAATTGAACAGATTGTTTTACTCATCCATTGACAGTAGAATAAAAGTACCAAGAGGTAGCAGGACAAGTTAAAGTGAGTGATAAAGATCAGTGAAGAAGATCGAGATTACCCTTATTAGTATCCGTTATTACTGATGCACGACGCACACTTTTCAGTGTGTAACGTTGGAGTAAATCATCTTAGTTGGGTATGATAGTCATCATAGAAATCATGAACCGATCTAATTTGAACAACCATTGGGAACCTAGAAGCACTATTAAGCGTTTCGACCTCGTATAGAACTCCTCAGTAGTGCGTACCCATGACTTAGCAACTAGGAATTGAACCCAAGACCTCCGATGGTATGAAAGAACGTTTGATCTCTAGACAACTAAACTGGTATTCGACGAGATACAAGTCTAGCTTCAATTGATCCCTGATAGATGTACTGTTAAGTCTGTTTTACGTTCTCCGTCCTTATTTACTTCCCTTCAAAACTTTCGTATAGTTTCATACTACTTATTAATATTCAGTAAATAGTTGTATTCCTAACAATTTCTACGTGTATGAACAATTTTTGCTTGTTGATTAACCGTTATCAAGCATAGACACAACTAACGGCTGTCATTTATAATATCGAAGTACCTTTTTATTTCAGACAAAAAGACGAGGAGAACGTCACAGACAACTCACAAGTTGAAGTACAAAAACAATCGCTTTTTCAGACAAATAGTAATTCTGTGAAATTCGATTTCGTGCGTCTCACAATTGGGACGCTTCGATAGACTCAACACGTACTATAAATAAAAATTTAAACTTTTGGAAAATAAAACAAAAAACACTCAGAATTACCTTCATGAAATCAGTTACATTAGTATATTGATGTGAATCAATTTTATCACGTATAAGACCTAAATCCATTGGTTGTTTAATAACATCATAATAATCCGGTGCTTCATCTAATTGAACTGGTCTAGTGAATACGGTGAAACGACGAAAACTTGCTAAATGTGCAACAACTCTACGTAGAATTTGTCGAAGACGACGAAATAATTGCATTTCCCTAGATTCAATAATAGCTAATTCTTCAGGGGAAAGATTTACTGGATAACGATCTTTTTTATACTTTCCTGAAACATCATCATCTTTTTCAACAGCTGGTTGTGGACTAGGTCTGTAACAAACAGAAAAAAATAAGTGAGGAAGGAAAAATGAGTTAATGTATTGATGGGTGAATAAATATTCATAATATTGAGAGACCGTATTCGACATAGTTTAAGAAAAATATTAGACTCCAGAGTTTTCATCGGCTCTCAGAAGGTGAATTGGGTTAGTTGTTGGTGGCTGTTCAAATATCAACAACGGTGTTAAAAGCATCCCAGGCTTTTACTAATGGAAGTATTTGCTTATGTATGTTAGATTCTCATATGGGTATGTATCTATCATCGGGTAGATATGTGGCTTAATAGTTAAGCCATTTGATCTACAACCACTAAATACCAAGTTCGAATTCCATTCCGCCTGAGTCAGGGCTTGAACAACTTAGTAGCATCTCCAGCCTTACACACAGTAGTGGCTGGAAGTTAAGTACAGAAATTTGTACTTGGTAAGTGAGTTAATATCAAAAAGTTACATAACTCTATAACTATTAAAACTAGACATCCAAACGTTAAATACACGTGTATAGGATCAAACCGTCAGATGAACAATTCTGAAGTTAACAAGTCATTTGACAAAGCTGTGAATATTCATCAAATAGGTTTACTGAGATTTTATGCTTAACTAGCATTATTGACTTGACGTACTAGGCTCTGCGAGTCTGTGCATACCGTGTACCTTAGTAGAAACCAAAGGGCTCAGTGCCACCTCAAGATTAAACGACGGCTCAGAGACTATAGACGAAGCACGCTATTGGTGGAAGTAGAATATGTACTTAGTCCAGTATATAAATGTACGATCTGTGTTTATCATAATATAACTTGCCAATTAATTCTGTTAAGATACATACTAGTGTAGTGGACGTTACTGACAAGGATGTATGTAAGTAGTATGTAGCAGAACGCGGTGTCGAACTTGCAACAATTGTTGGACAGAGTGAAAAGTTTCAGTGCATCGAAAGCACAGCCTTGGCAGGTCACTAGGAGGCCAGTGGAGAACACAGTTCAGATTATAGAACACACCGGAAGATGCAAATGGACGATTGAAGGCTAGGTATATGTATTATTTAAATACTTTGTGACTTCTCGCAATAAATGCATATCTCCTGCATATTGTCATGTTTTACACTACGACCAAACAGGTATCTATTATTTACTTATTTATTTATATGAACACATAAACTAAGGGGGATCAAACTAAATATGCACATTACAAAATTTGTGTGAGAGCTAGAATACTACCCGGATGACTAAACAAAAACAAGGAGCTACTCCCCGAGCCGCTGATAGGGTAATCTAATCCACAAGGCAATGCGCCAACGTCATGAAATGAAGTCCCATGGTAGTCAGTGACGAACAATATCTTCATGCGCCATTTCTTCCCTCATGATCCTGTAATCCATGTACAACATTGGTTTTTCAACTCTTCTCAGTGGATCCACCGTACCCACCAACCCGGTTTAAGGGCCAGACATTCGTTTTCCGTGATGATGATAATAATACTGGACGGTCAAATTCAGTAATCTACTAATGATTAAATGCATATTTCACTCATTCTATGAATTACACCTACTACCTACCTAGTACTTATGTAATGAATGAGAACTCAGTTGGGGAAAACCAACTTATTGTTTAATGCAAAATTACGGTGTCTTCGTAAAATATGAATGCTACATTAAATACATTATTTGCACATCTTCCTTCAGTTGTTCTTTATGTGATTCATGATTCATTCATTTCTGTTGTTACTGCAATAGCTCTGTTTCCCTTCCTGTTCTCTACGATTCAATTTTCTCAATGTTCTGCTGCCAGGCATTCCACTTCCAATTAGCTACACTAGTCCCCCCTTTAAACGATCATTTTTTCAGTTGTTCTGCTCGCAGTGCCACGCTACCCAGTGGTATGTCGATTCCGCCAGTGCGATAACCTCCATAGCTCTATAGACCTGCCGATCATCTTACTCTAATGTCCACCTGGCATTCATCAGGATGTCCTGCATCTCGCCATCGGCAGTGACTGCTACATATAACGCCGCCCCGACCGAACACTTCACTCAACATATCCTTCCTGCATTAGACATCACACCAACCAATGACTCTATTCCCGGCTCCGCAAAGGTGAATACAGAACTTCATCTCAATTGTCATTCATTAAACATGAATTCAGATAACATATCTAAATATTCAAACACTTTGGGAAAATTTCATATTACTTTACAACAAATAAACACAAAACAGGATATTAATATGAACTTACATTTTTGTATTAGATAATTGTTGAATAATCGATTTATTATCACGTATATCTAATAATTCAATTGATGTTAATTGAGGCCATTTAATAATAACTGATGTAAAAAATGCTAATCTTTCCTCTTTATTAGGTAATTCTAAATGCATAAATTCTGTATGATTACTATTGAATATTTTATGTAATATATGATTTATATATAATGAATTATCAATATTTTTTAAATAATCATTATCTAAATCTGTATAATCCAATAAGTAATTATGAGTAGTATCATTATTGTTATTATTATTAGTAGTAGTATCATGAATAGTAGTAGTATTCCCTTTATTATCTGTAATAAAATCTGTATTCATTAATGATGTTGGTGTTATGTAAGAATTCATTTTAGTATTAGATGATGATCTATGACATTCTGGTAATTGAATAGTAAATTGAAATTTAATACTATTTAAATCATGATCATATGTATATTTCATTAAGTGTTCATTCAATCCAACAGTAGTAGTAGTACCATTAGTATTAGTATTACCACTAAGATCATTATTATTATTATTATGCATTGTATTGGGAACGATCGAAGATGGTGAAGATCTTAAATGCAATGAATGTGTTGATGATGATATAGATTTATCGATGAGATTCATACCACTAGTGACTCGACAGTTTACATCTAAATATAAATATTTATTTTAAAGATAAAAATAACAATGAATAAAGTGTTGATAAGGTTTGATATATTTATATATATTGCTATATATGTATAATATCTATTTTTACTATCAGTTTTCAGTTAAATGCAACGTAGAACTTGACACATGTGTACATTGGTTCACGTTCTTACAACTCATTAGTACAGTGTGATTAAACTTTCTAGAAGAAGAAAAGAAAGAAGTAATTCCTCCGTATATTAGTAAAAAGTTGTAACCAGTAGAGTTCATCAACTGTGTAGAGGGAGTACAATGTTCCGTTACACACAGTCGGGTATTTTATAGACAAAGCTCCATATTAACTACTACTATTTCAGGCCCCCAAATGCCCTGGTATGTTCAATGGTGGTGTGAATCAGCTATCCCACTCCAAATGCTCTCACATGGCCACGCGTATACATCCACTGACAGAGAAGTCCCATTCATTGCCTTCTGGTGGTGGAAGTGTTTTTTGTGAAATTGAGAGGACAAATAACGAATGTCTGGTGCTTCAACTGGGTTAATGGATAGAGAGGATCCACCAGGGGAAGTTGGAAAACCCTGATTCAAAACGAATCATGCACATGGGGCTCCTGGATCCTGAGGGAACAAATGGCATACGAACGAATTACTGGTCACCGGCTTCCATGGGACTGCATTTCCTGACGTTACTCCATCGCACTGTGGATTAGACATCTAGGAGATAGGTTAGGGCAGTGGTCTCATAGGTCTAGGTTCCCGAGCAGTATCACAGACCACACATAAATCACGTGACTTGCCTGGCGGATATGTATTCCGTTCGCCTCTGTACCAACATTTATGTATTCAAATAAATAAAACATGGTAACTGCCACGAGTCATAATAAAGCTAAACAACAATCATACAGTCAGGGATATTATTCACTAAGCTAGTTGGGCTGAGAGTGACCTCCATTTACATTGATTAATTACCGACTAGAACCTAGTGTCATGTTTGTCTAATCTATAGTGCTGATTGAATTATATCAAGCTCCAGTCCATTTGTTAGTCTAAGTGACTCAATATGGCGTGTATAAAGTTTTGATTCAATGTGATTGGAGATAGTATACATGATGGTGACTGTCGACTAGAGTGAAATCTAGGTCGAGGAGGGTTTCACACTGACTACCTCTAACTACCTAACATAGTGCAAACGATTTCAAGTCACTTAAACTATTGGAATTCAATCAGCACTAAAGGACTAGACAAACATGACAGTGACCACTCCATAGTGACTAGTCGGATGTTAATACTACATCTCTTCGACTAACCTTTTCTTCTTATTCCGGTTCTGGAAAGTTCATTTTCAAAAACGAATCAATTTCGACCGACTGAAAATTAAGCATCGCTGAACAGATTCACTACGTCTCCATTTGAGACTATGTTTCTAATTTTAATCGATACTCAGTTTAAATCACAAACAGGTTTTAATAAGACCACAAATGAAAACCTGAAAACATCATAGGCAATGAGTGACAGTCGTGCAATATCGTAAATTGATTGCAGTTAGACTTGCGCACCGTTGAATGCTCTCTCAATGGTCAAGATATCAACCAATTGCACGTAAGAAATTCAAGGTTCGACTTCCAAACTTAAGATCGCGGATGCGCACTTCTGAGGGACTCCATTCTACAACAAAACGTTTATCTAACCCTTCCAGATTTTCAATAGCAGTCTAATCAAGATCAGTACGTGATTTAAACTACGATTTAAACTCCACAAATCTCCCAATACTAATTTAATCGACTTTTCATACAGTACAGAGATCATTCAATGATCATAAATAGACCCTGGTGATATAATGATTGATCGACAACCATCATCAATCATTAATTCACACTAAGACTTCTTTGAATTAATCACAAAGTTAGTTACAATGATATCTAATCAAATTAACAATCTCAACCAATTGATCGATCAGTGAATTAACTCATAAATAAAGGGGGGTTATTTTCAATACAAAAATTTTAAGACAGAAATATTACCATTTGATTTTCCAATTAAATTAGGAAATATTGATACACAATTATCATGGGTTGTACTCGTATTATTATTATTATTGCACTGTTTAATAGGTGAATTACGTTTTTCAATGTTAACAGGTGGAACAATTCTTGGAGGGTAACAATTAGAATATTGTTGTTGTGGTTTTGTACACGTTCCAATAATGATTAATCGACGTGAAGTTTTCATGGTAGCATATTGTAATCGATTATTATTAGTATTGCTGTTGTTGTTTAAAGAGCCCTCTAAATGATCAGAATTGTTCAATGTTGAAGGAATATAATTCAATTCACAATTGATTTCATCTACTAATGCATTTAATCTATCAACAAGATAAGAAGCAGTTAATTGTGGTAAACTATGAAGAAGTACATCAATTGATGGTAGATAAACAATAACAATTCCATTGATTAATTGAGATTTCATATTGAATGTTGTTAAAGAAGAATTATTTAATGTACGTCGTATAGAGGAGATAATTTGTGCAATAGCCGCTTCTGGACACATTCCAAGACTTGTAGGGAATGCAAATAGATTTGCCAAATTAAGTGTGAATACCTTGGTATTAAACATGAAAAAATGACAGTAGGAGGAGAAGGGATAGTAGCAAAAAGTGATGTAGAAGGAGAAAAACAAATTGATAAATATGAATTTATATTTTTTTATTTATTTAAACACATACGCATTGGTACAAGGAGGCACCGAATAGATATGCGCCACATAAATTATTCGATCTATGTGACGGCTGTAATACTGCCCGGGAGCTCAGAATGAACCAAGTGGTTTTCTTAAGGGGCTACAACCCGAGCATTCGAACTAGAGGTCTGATCCACAAGGCAGTGGAGCAACGCCGGGAGATGTAGTCCCATGGTAGCCGGTGACCAACGATTGGTTCATACTCCATCTCTTCATTCAGGATTCTGGAGTCCATGTACACAACTGCTTTGAAATAAGGGTTTTTCAACTCCTCTAGGTGGACCGTCCGTATCCATCAACCCGGTTAAAGCACCGAACATTCGCTTTTTGTCCTTTCAATTTCGTAAACAACACCCCGTCACGAGAAAGCAGTGAGTAGGACTTCCCTAGCAGTGGTTGTATGCACGTGGCCATATGAGAGCATTTTGTAAGGGAGAGCGAACTCTCCCCACTCTCGGCCGTACCACAGCATTTGGAAACCCGGTTTCTTAAATGAATAAATACAAAACAAAGTGTTCATTCCAGGTAATTCATCATTTACCTTCGATGTCATCATTAGATGCGTAAAAGATAGCATATATTAATAATTAATTTATGAAATTAATCTCACTTACATGTAATGCCTCTAATCTATGCCATACAGCATTCATAATAATTTCAGATATATTACCATGAATGAATAATTTCGATTTGATAATACACGATGAAACATTATCATATACAATGCCTGTTGATGATGACGGTGATGATGATGATAATAATAAAGATAATTCTTTATTATTATTACTCAAGGAACCAAACTTTCTTGAATTGGTCAATAATAATATTCGTGTTATATAATTTACAATTTTATTAACATGATGTGATAATAACTTGGCTAATGTCGGGGATAATGGTGTACGTATAGTAGAAGATAATGCATTTGTTGATGGTGTTAAATTTGAAGCTGATACATCACTATCAAAGCGTTCACTTGATGCATGAACAATTTGTAATGCTTCAAACCAATCAGAATGAGAGACCTTTTGAAAATAAAGAGAAAATAGAGAAAAGAAAGGGAAGAATGAATAATATAAGTGAAAAATCGGATAACTCAATGAAGTCATTTTGAATCATGACTATATATATATTATTGCGAAATTCGTAAACTGTTCTCTTGAAAACCAGGCCACCGATAAGCATTCTCCAACGCACTCCGTGCTGGGCCTTCCTTTGTAGTTCTATCTAATTTTTGTTCATTCTTCTCATGTCTATCTCCATTTCTCGGCGTAATGCGTTCTTTGGTTTTCCTCTTTTTCTTTGGCCTTAAGGATTTCAAATGAGGGGTTGGAGCCCCTCTGGGGTTACTGCCGGTCCCAGGAAGGGTGGGTATGGAGTTAGCGACCCCATCTCGTAGAAAACTAACTCGCTAAAAAACGTTAACCAGAAAAACATAATCCAATCCATTTAAATTCTGCTTTGGGAGTTAGAAGGTCTTCACTTAGAAGACTTATAACGCCTCATGGTGAAAGCCGAACTCCTTCGGAAGTCACGAGGCTGATGCCCATCCTGACAACCAGAGCAGCCATTAATTCAGGTATAAGGAATGCTTGTACAATGTGGGAGACGGGAAGTCTTCCAAATCGCTACGGAAATGAAAGGATACAACCTGGAGGTGCCTAGAATCCGTGAAATATACTTTGAATTTCTCAATAAATGCCAAAACGTTTCACGTTATGTAATCGTGTGAAACAAAATAGTTATATATAGAAATCTTTAACAAACAAAAATATAGTAATTCATTCAATTACCAAAAAAAGTACAACTTACCACTAAATATTTATGTTCCAAAGCTAATTTCACCTGACTACTATATACTTGAGGATAACATCGACGTAGACAGCATAAACATGCTTCTGTAGTTAATGCTTTAAGATCAGCACCGGAGAAATTGATCGTTGCTGCAGCAATTTGATCAAGTAACTTGTTGGAAAAGAAGCAAAAGGAAGTAAAAAACGAAAGAACAAAAGAAAAGTAGTGAATTTGAGCAGAACTTAACTTTACCGTGGAAGCCTTGAAACGAATAGAATTTATCAATCAGAGTGGAAATAGCGATTGTTAGTGTGAAGACAGATTATTTAAACTGTAATCACATCTAATCTGTGCCCCCAAATGCCCTGGTACGTTCAAGGGTGGTGTGAATCAGCTAACCCTCTCGAAATACTCTCGTATGGCCACGCATATACAACCACTGACAGATAAATCCTGCTAACCGCATTCTCGTGGTGGAAGTGTTGTTTACGAAATTGAAAGGACGAAAAGAGAATATCCGGTGCTTTGATCGGGTTGGTGGACATACACGATTCAGCTAGGGAGTTGGCAAACCCACATTCCAAACCAATGTTGCGTATAAGCTTCAAGTATCTAATGTAACTACGACTAGAGAACGACATGAAGAGATGTACACTTCAGAGACAAGGTTGGGGAAAGAAATCTATTAGAGATGGTACATTTTTATGAAAAAAAATCATGTTCAAATTCCATATCCCTTACGATTCTATCCTTTTTTGTGATACATAAGTTGACTGTACAACATGAATTTTGATTTTTAGGGTACAGTTAGGATTAGGCTCTATCACCCTAAAATTCTAAAACTCTAGATTCTATGAAATTTTATTCTTTTTATTTTGAATGATGAAATTAATTTACAACAGCTGTATTACAAGTGGCTGACAGCTGATCGGTTAGTTTCAAGATCATTTCTAGAATCGTTCTAGGATGTCACTGTCAACTGTAGTAAACAAAGATAAAATAGAAGATGAATAATCAATAATCTAATATTTATACGTTATCGATTGATCTCAATTAGGGTGGCATTAAGAATAAATGAATAGTGGACTGAAGTTTCGTCCTGGTATAGGGATCCTTCAGCAGCATGCACACATAACACAACCAGAAATCGAAACAGGGATATTCAAGAATTGCGGTGATCATAATCTATTGTCTGAGTTGCGCAACATCTTGATTTCTTATTAATACAATCATTGCCCCCCCCTTCTATCCCATCCCACATCTACTCAGAGAGTGAACTTACCAATGAATCTGGTTTTGAGTCCCATTTTGCAGTAATCACATCGAGTATACGACGTCGAACTGCCTCTGTTGGTAATGTAAATACGAATTCACGATCAAATCGTCCAGGACGTCGTAAGGCCGGATCAATAGCATCTGGTCTATTTGTTGCACCAATAATCACAACTTCAGCACGATTATCTAAACCATCCATTAAACTGAGAAGAGTGGAAACAATGCTGGAGTGAATTTGATCCTTAGAAAATAGTAGAGGAACCGAGACAGAGAAAGGTATAAAAACATCAATTCTACTTCCAATAATCATGATAAACCTAGAAAAAAAGGGATTTTCTTAACTATTCAGCCATTAGTTAGTTTATGTTAAACTACTTAATGTCGTTTCCTGTCATGAGGTAAAATATTTATACAATTTTTGTGATAAACATACCGGTCAACTAGAATATGAGCACCAAGAATATCTTTTTATTAACAATGTATGTGATAAGGCTGTTTTTAAGACTAACTGTATCGTGATGAATTGACAGATACCAACGAGAACGTGTTATTCTTACTTGATGTATGTGCATATATCATCATCAAGTTTGACAACCACCGAGAGCGAAATGAGTAAAACACGACTAAGTTATTGAAGATGATATTTCATGGTGGTAAAACTTTTAGAATATTTAGTATGGATGGGAGGGGTAATGAAGACAGATGAACTTTGTAGTTTACATAATGGACTGGGCTCTAGTTAGACAACCATTGAAAACCAGGAAGCACTGGACAGATATTTCCTGCTAGTACAATAATTCTTAGTGGTGTATGACCCCACGTCAGAGATAGAAACCAGGGACTTTTAGGTTTTACGGAGAGTGCTTAATCTTCAGTCCAGTAAGTCGCCACCAAATGGTTTAGATTTCCAACTTAGTTTGAGATCTTACACAGCCATCTTAAAGTGTCCTACAAATTCTCACAGAAACTTTAAAAACTACTTTTCAAAATTAGCCGTTAGTAAACAGATAACTTTTATTGGTACAAAAGGCTTTTGAAAATTATTTGATTGTCATATCCTAAGTTTATAGATTCTTAAAAATGTGTGGAAAATTGACTATGAACTTACTTGTTTTGAAGATCGAACAGGAGCTAAACCATCAATTTCATCGAAAAAAATTACTGAAGGACGCATTCGATATGCTTGATCAAATAGTAATCTTAATTGACGTTCAGATTCACCAACCCATTTAGATAAACAATCTGCTCCTTTACGCATAAAAAACGCAATAGGACGACGTTGTTTTACGGTATTATTATTATTATCATTGCTACCTTGAGCTAAACGACTACATTCATTTGCAAGAGCTCTGGCTAACAGTGTTTTACCAGTACCTGAGAAAAAGTATAGTTTAAAAGTATTCAGAACAGTTTATGAGCATTTTATTGACAAAGATAACTATTTCAGAGAAGAAATCTCTTTTCACACTAATATTATTATTATTTGACATTCTGACGATTAATATCTCAGCTACGATAATTGTTCTTTAATTCGGAATAGAATTTGGGGTAGTAGATAATAAACTGAAGTCTTCTGAATACAATGAATAATAACGACTAATAAAAAAGTCTGTAGTGCTAAAGGAGATCCTTTCCATGAATATTCAGTTTAAAGGAGATACAACGACAGTAATCCTGAAGAAAATACAATTTTGAAGTCTTTGAAAATAAAGCACTTTATCCCGTTGAACTTCGAATTAACCCTTCTAGTTCCCCAATGATTCGTGAATGTATGAAAAGACAAGCTTCTGCTTTGGGCGACATCAATGTATATCGACATGTGCACTTGTTTTTGCAAATAGATCATGTTGGCCGTACAAAGCAGGCTAACTTGAAAAGCATTTCCAAGCATTGCTCTGTTTGATTATCAAAACACCCCCAAATGCCCTGGTACGGCCGAGAGTGCGGAGAGTCCGCTCTCCCTCTCCAAATTCTCTCAAATGGCCACGCGTATATAGCCTCTGCCAGGGAACTTCTACTCATTGCCTTCTCGTGGCATTACTGTTGTTTACCGAATTGAGAGGACGAAAAGCGAATGTCCGGCGCTTTAACCGGTTTGGTGGACATGGATAGTCCACCTAGGGGAGTTGGAAAACTTCGATCCAAACCAATGGTGCACATGGGCTCCAGTATACCGAAGTAACGAATGGCATATGAACCAATTGTTGGTCACCCGCTGCCATGGGAATGCATCTCCTTACGTTGCTCCAATGTCTTGTGGATCAGACCTTCAGGTCAAAGGCTCCGGGTGTGACCCCCTAAGAAAATCATCTGCTTCAGTTTAGGCACCCGGGCAGTATCACAGCCCTCACACATATCAGATCAGATCTGTGTGACGCATATGTATTTGGTGCCCCCTTGTACCGATATCTATGTGTTAAAATAAATAAATAAATAATAATAAATCAAAACACCAGTTAATAGTTCGATTCCTGATTATTATCTTGTAAATCTGGTCACATCACTTTCCTCGGAATCCCACCTTAAAGTCACCCATAAAGTCATGTAAAGTAGTTCAATATGATTACAAATCAGTAGTTTATAAACCTTTGAGACTTTAGCAATCCATGTATTCCAGACTAATCTGTGTACAAAAGCAACATGTTTAAACTAACCATAGTCTAAAACACTCCGACCGTTGTTGCTACCTTGACGTGGTAGTCGGGTTTGCCTATCGTGATGAAGCAACCGAGCTATACTGGCTGGAACAACCGTTCCTCAAGGTCCTACCATGTCAGACAGGTCGGTTGACGAGCGGTAGGACTAAAAGCAGCAACTCAAGGTCTGAGGGCGAAGTCGTACTGCTGACTGTACAAAGGTGTGGCAGCAGTAAGGTGTTCCCTTCAGACAACCAGCATGACAGCGATGCTGCCTTCCCACAAGGAGGGGTGGGGTTGGAAAAGGTCGACCCTAAAAATGCACACCTCGCCTTATCCCACGGATATCCGTCTCCGGCGGTAAGGTCTCAACAAGTACGGAGCTAACACAAAAATTACCCATAAAAAGGTCGTGTGTGACCGACCTCAAGCAGTTGTCCTTTGAGCACTGCGGTCACGCTCCCAGGGCACTAAGACCATCTCTAATCCAAGTTCCTTTTCAGGTACCTCCAGAAGAACCCTTCCACGGTGTGGGCAACCGGGAAGTGATAACCGCCCTCATACCTCTGACAGAACTCAAGACCATTGAGTGTAAAACACCCTTTTTATCCTTCATGGTTATTATCACTTAATCATTATGTTCTGCATACCAAAAAATGAACAATTATCTCTCTTCTACAAGAAAATTCTAATATTTTTCTGCATACTTCATTAGAACGTTACGTAACTTCCCTTCTACAATTGAATAGAAGCAGTGTAAGAGTTGGATACACTTACCAAATTACACATCTTGAAAGTTGGTGCGAGAGGCTAGTAGTTGGCGAAATCTTACAGAAGACTAGAAAAAAAAGAAACACCTAATCTAGGATAATTTGACACCTGTTTGTATACACCTAAGGCGATAAGGCCAATGGTAATTATGCAGGTAATCATAAGACTAGGAATTTTCGTATCACTTTTAGGTATACAGATGGATATCATCAACATAGAGCCTGGTAAATACGTGTGTTGGACAGTCTTCATATCACGTTAGTACGAGAACATGATGAAAAGATAAAGTGGAAACGTAGATATGAAGGAACACTGGAGTTTGAGATCGAGTGAAAGATACCAAGTGAACAATTTACGGTCACGCAAGACTAAACTGATTACTACTTACCTGGAGGTCCTGAAAACAGTACACCACGAGGTGGATCTACATTGAATTTTGAAAACACTTCAGGATACATTAGCGGTAGAATTATACTTTCTTTCAATGCTAATATATGTTTTTCATGCCCCCCAACTTGTTCGAACCCGACAGATGAATCAATAGACATTGGTTCGATATCTGCCAAGCAAGTAGTAGAAAAACTTCGATTTCCTGCCGTGGATTTATTCTTTAAAAAGCAAACAACAACGGTGTATGAAAAAGGAAGGGGTCGATAACATAAATTAACATTTGAAAGAAAAAAATGATGCAGAACCATTGAGACCAATAGTACTAATGTGCAGATATGATACTGAACAGTAGTGTCAAGGATTGAACCCAGGATTTCAAAGTAATGGTCGTACTATTGAAAATTAACTGAAATCGGACATATAAACAACTAGATTTCGATTGAATACCTCGATAAGAAACATACACTTCGTGGGTCTAATTACTGATGGATCATATTAGTAAGAATTTACTACAAACTTCATAAAAGGAAAGGTGAGTTCTTCAGGGATTTCCTAGTTTAGAACAATATTATCTAGACCAGTTCGTGACAATTTTTTTACTGGACAAACTAACACCAAACTGCCAAGGGAATCACAGAATCAGATAGTCTTTTTTCTTAATACTGAAGTCTTAGAGATAATCGAGATTAGGCTAGCCAAGAGACGACTCAAGAAAGGATGAATTAGAAACTTAGGACCTAGAGAAAGAATAAGTGCAGCTACGATTTTAGGCATTGTCACCCAAAATATCAAGCCATTAGTCATGGTAATCACGCAGTCTGAACCTGTCGATATGGTTCAGTACAACAGTCAATGTTTTCACAGACCGAATTCACATTTCGATTTGGTCGCTCTTAGCTTTCTTCAAACCTACTCCCACAACAGCCATCACCGCGCATCGAATAAGTTGGTTGATGGCGGATAACTGTTAAGCTGTTCCGTGTGCATGTTACGTCCCAACTGCCATTATCAAGTTGGTATTATGACTGCCATCGTCGAATAGCTCAAACGGTCTTTAATTCGTCAGTATTGTAGGATGACCGTAAATCCCGATAGACACTCTTTTCTTGTTAAGATTTTAAACAAACAATATTTAGTATTTTTCTCTCTGATAGTTAATCACAATGTTTGTAAAATATTGTAACAAGGAGAATGAAAACACTTCAATGTTCTTGTTACCTTGAAATTTCTCTGATTAGGATATCTTCAGATTCTAAAATATGATAAAAACGTTAGTCAATTACAATATACATGGTTCGTATACATCTTAACTGAACTGACCATTTTGTATGTTACCTAGTAACAACAATTAGCTACCAAAAACCAAATTAAGTGTCGAAGTGATCTATAAATCTGCGCGAATCAATGTTTGGAAAGTGCGGTGGTGTCTTAATCCATCAAAACAATATATTTTAATTGAAGGGTTCCGGTGCAGATTGGTTTAATTTGTAAGTCTTAGATTGGTTCAGCTGAGATACCATAAGAAACCATAAAGCACTGGACAGTTATTTCGTCGCAGAATAAGACTCCTCGGTGGAACCTATTCATGACTCCGCTATGTGAAGGTTAAGATCGGAACACCTTAGTTTGTCAAGTTGGAACAAACTTCTGCAAATTAAATTGCCGAAATTCCAATCATATGCTCATTAGTAGATAAAGATTTGAATTAGATTTCTTGTAGATCAGTGTTTATTAGCCAAGGTGTTTGACTTTCAGTCACCAACTCCTAGATTCGAACCCAGCTTTATCTGCTTCGGTTTAAGCGACCAAGCGTTAGTATCATTAGCCTTTACACTTAGAATATAGCGAATACTCAAGTACCTTGTAAACGAGTTGGATTGTTTTTATTATTATAGGACAGTTAAATCCAAAAAATTATCTCTATAAACCAGTACAAACTATAATAAAATTCTATTTAACAGAATATAAGTTATAAAATAATAGAATAATATATGAATAGAACATACTTCATAACCAAGTTGATGACTGTTTATAGGCATAAGCTCTGATCTAGCATGTATAATACTTTTATTAATACGACGTTGAAAACGTTTTTCATCTTTATCAACTGTTAATGGAACATTATTCTCTTTAGTGGAAGAACAATGCCAACGATTATGCCAACTATTACGATTACAGAATAATCTATCAGAAATATGAGATCTTGATGATGATGTTGATGAAGAAGACGATGTACTACTACTACTTGAACCACAATGTTCTAAATTTTTACGATGCCTTTAAAACACGTAGAAAGTAGGGAATGTTAAAACGAATAACGTTTTAAGCAGAAAAATGTTAGAAAAAAGAATAAACACTTATTTATTATGATGTGAAAGAGTCTTTTCATCTTAAGATGTTAATATCACTATTCTATCCACTTGTTATAACCTTTACAAGTGTCACTTACTAGGTTTGTAGAGATTTTGTGTATAAGCGTTAAAACTACAACTGATTACAATGCGTACCTGTTAGCGACATAAAGAATGTTCTGTAAAGGATTGTGTTGGAGCACGCTAATTGACTATTTCGTAACCAATCAGAGCTAGCGGAAACTTGGAGAAGACTTGAGAATATTCTCATGATAAAAAAACCATAAATACACTAACATTTTTCTTATCGTAATCCCTACTTCTATCTAACCTTGTTATTTGGAATATAATTACATCCCTGTTCCACCGTGTTCTGATTTGGAGACTTGTCAAGTGAATAAGTGTCCGAAAATACTAAGAAATAAGAGTAGCTGGATCGTAATAATAACAGTGGCGACGAGGAAAAGGAAAAACAACATTCAAGATGCCGATATCAGATGACCAACTCAACCGAATACTACAACAACAACAACAAGCACAACTTGATGCACAAACGCAGTTGTTAGAAACTCTGACGCAACAGCTTAACATCCACTGCTTGAGTTTACGCGCTAATTCAACTACATCTAGTGATGCAATTGCCAGAAGCAACCTAGAATTCAACTTCGACCTCGAAAGTGGAAGTACCAATTTCATGTGGTTCAAGCATTAGGAGCATACATTTAAAATAGAATTCTGCCAACAAGACGACACGTGGAAGACTCGATTTTTTTATGCGTAAGTTGGGAAGTAATGAACATACACACTACGTTGACCACATATTGCTCAGTTTCGAGGAGACAGCAAACCAGTTGTCAGAGATATTAGGTGAATCATCTTCACTATTTAGTACTCGATATCAGTGTCTAAATTTGGTGAGACGTGAAGCCAATAACAGTATCAAACTGAATATCAACAATAAGGTGTAGACAGACCATCGTAAAAGTAATAAAGCTTATCTCTTCTGAATAAATTAATAACTATGATGACTCAGCAGGTTGAGGTATATATGATGAAAGATAACGACTTGTTGGCATTTGTAGTGTTCAGTTATATGTTCCCGTTTCAATGTGAACAACAACAAAGATATAGGCACGTACACCAAGCTGACGGGCATCGAAAACGATGAAATCTGCACCTTGAATTCCATAGCTAACTATTATCCATATATACTTATATGTAATGTTGGGTGATTAGTGAAATAATTCATGATTGGTATTTTTATATAACATTCTTTTAAACTGATTTCTCGGGTGGATGTCAATTAAAAATGATGGTTACTACACACAAAGAACACCAGTTCCTCAAGATTTCATGTACAGCTTACTAACGACTCCTAACTATCACAAAATCTAGATCAAACACGATTTAACGCAAAATATGTATAACCACTTGAAATCTCGTTTACCATATGTATGCATAAATACATCTAATACTAGCTAGTGGTTATTTATTCAAACACATAAAAATTGATACAAAGGGGCATAAAAATAAATATGCGCTACACATAGCAGTTATCATTCAATTTGTGTGTGGGCTCGAATACTCCTCGGACAGAAACAGATGATTTTCTTAGGGAGCCACTCCTCGAGCCGTTGACATGGTGATCTAATCCATAAGGCAATGCACCAACGTCAGAAGATGCGGTCTCGTAGTAGCCAGTGACTAACAATATTTTCATGAGTCATTTTTCCCTCAGGACCCTGAAGTCCATGTGCACTAATGCTTTACAATAAGCGTTCCCCAACTCCCCTAGATGCATCCATCGTACCCACCAACCCGGTTTAAGGGTCTGACATTTGTTTTTCGTCCTCTCAATTTCTTAAAAGACACCTCTGCCATAAAAATGCAGTGAATAGAATTTTACTGGCGGTGGCTATATACCCGTAGCCATATGAGAGCGGATTCCCCACCGTCGACCGCAATAAGGCATTCGGAGGCCTTGTGGTCAGGGAGGTCATATATATATATATATATATATATATATATATATATATAAGCAGAAACCCTCTACACTCACTTGGATTTCAATTGACGTGATCGTCTTTCTTTATGATAACCTGTACCGGCTAACCAGTTTCTTTGATGTTGTTGAACACCATGATTGTTACTATTACTATGATTATTCTGCAAATTTTCAACTGAAAGAAAAGACAAAAAATAACTTTTGAGAAATTTATTATTAATTCAATCGAACTAAAAGATGAACACAAGTCAGAATAATAATTACGTACATTCTATTCCATGTACAGTTATTATTAGTTGAACATTTCAAGATCTAATCTAATTTACTAAGTGAAAATAGATTTTCAGTATAGGGATTATGGAGATTACTAAGTTTTTTTATTGAGATCATGAACCAATTGATGTTAGGCCACCAATGAAAACCTAGAAGCACTAGACGGCCGTTTCATCCAATTGTAGGACTCCTCAGTAAAGTGCGCATCCACGATCCAGCTCGCGGGATTCGAGCCCTTCGGTCTCGCGAGCGAACGCTTAACTTCTAGATCACTGAGCCGGCCGATATCCAACGGTATTAATGTCGTACCTCAACCAATCCACGAAACTGCACGACCAACTTCCATTGTACTGAGGTAGATACCTATATCTGTATCTACCCGACACCGATTAGCTCCATTGGTCATGGCTTCTCACTAGAACTCCGAGAATTCCCCACGAAGCTAGTCACTAGTGAACACATGGTAATTATCAGTATAGAGGTTGTGGAGTTTATTAAGTTCTTTGATTGAGATCATGAAACGATTGAAAAAAAGAATAGATTTATTAACGGCTTTGCGCTACACTGTTACATTTATGTATTACAACTGTACTACTCATGAATAGCTTGTTATTTTGTTATAGAATTTATTTTTTATATTTTATAATTGATTAGTGATAAACTAACTGTTCTCTTAATTGGTTTATATATTTTCTACTTGCTCAAAGTTGATTCGTTTTACTGAGTTTATTACCTTATATCTGACTTTTAACGCCATGGATACACACTACCCCGGAGTTCCATACTAGAGTGAAACGGTTGTTCAGTGGTTTCAGGTATTCAATAGTTGTCTAACTAAGACCAATTTGCGATCTTAATAAAATTTAACATTCTACACAAATATATACTGACAATAATTATTTGTTATACGATATACAGTTACTGTTAGCGGGACATAGACTAGATTAAAGCATGCTCAATACATGATTGCTTTGGTGCACGCTGATTGGCTAATTCTTATCCAATCAGCACTAGTCGATAGTTGGAGAATATTCTAGAATCTTCTCGTGTAAAAACTATAAATATACTGACGTTTTCTCTATTGTGCTTCTGACTTGCTTCTGACTTGCTATTTGGAATATAATCTCTTTCCCGTTCAACCGTGTTTTGATTTGGGGACTTGTCGAGTGAATCGGTGTCCGAGAATACTAAGCAATAGGAATAGCTGGGTCATAACCGTAAGAAGAAAGAGATTTATAACAGTTACATATCAAGAGTCTTTAACAGGTCCTCGACCAAATATAGAGCGATATGAACACACGCGAACTCTTGTATGTTTCGATAACAAATGGTTGTTGATTAACTGGATCTGAAAAAATCCTCTGTGCATAAAATTCTAGACAAACATTTTAAACTGAGAAAACTGCACCCCAAAATCGTCTAAAAGTCTCAGTTAGTCAAACTCAAAGTAGAACCTGGCAAATATGTACATCTCAACAAGGTGCCACATTCTATTGGCATAACGAGACGAAATTCCAAGCGACAATTACACAGTAGTACAGGTAATAACACTATCAGTGGTAGTGAAAAAGATTAGGCACCGAAAATACAAATCAGTGAAATAAAAAGTAAGGTTATGATGAATTTAGGATCTCAGAATTTGTGAAAAGACAAGAAATGAATGCACCTGTGCCATTACAAACGATTTTGAGCAATGTCAAAGTCTCCAACCATGGATTACGATAAGCATATAGACCCCAACCAGGTAGTGTATACATGTTAACATGGCTAAACCTGGTTATCAGTGATTGATGCTATGTTTCGGTTTGGCCGCCCCTAGCTTTCTTCCATCCTACTCCTCTAGATCACACAACATCGCCCATCAAGGTAGACAGTGGTTGGAAATTTGTAATACACGACACAACCACTTCAGCTGATGAATATTTACCACCTCTTCAAGCGATTCACCATCCTTACCTAGTACCCTTTTTCTAACCCAGGGATAGATCACACAATGATCCCAAAATATACGAGTAATGTATCAAAAATATCTATTGTCGAATACTAATTCACAAATACCTTATATTCGTAATGACCATTTTTCACACTCACAAATTGGAACAGCGCGAACTGTTGTGTTGTAAAATCAAACTTTAGTTGGGAGACAGATATTTCTCTCAAACCACAAGTGACTCAGGTTGACAAAAGTCAAATGAGCTTTCTGAATCCGTGCTGAGATTTCATCAGACACCAGACCATAAGGATTGATCGGACTCTTAAGATAAATGAAGCAGTTGGTACCCTCAACTACTTCACTCCCTACCATTAATTCAGACGCTGACGCAGACCAATCCTTAAGCAACATTTTCCATCTGAAAGGAGAGAATCGCATCCCAAACATCCTTGCATTGCTGATTAAGATGGTCAGAAGACTATTTTGTCTATATTCACCGAGCGAAACTATATTATCAAAGTATTCACAGTTAACAAGTGAATCTCCTAGTAGAGCATCAACCCCTGAAAAATCAGACAGCGAGAGCATTATTTTTAAAAGAATGTCTAAAAGTTTGTTAACACCTAACTTAAAAGTTATGAAAAATGGAATTTCAAATGGATGATAGTAATATCAACTCAAACCTTTGATTTTCATGAGATTCATCACTAGTGACAATGAATTATAACTCTATACGTAACGACATTGAATCTGAATTTTAAGAACTTCTAAAATGATTTAGACAATGAAAACACGAAAATGAGAAAAGCATATTGAGAAAAACAAGAAGCCCTTCTAAGTGGATAAACATCAATGTACCCTAAATGTTGTACAATACAATTCCTGTGATCTCACTTGGTATACTTATTAAATAGATCATATTATTCAAAATAATCTTACTGATATTGTGGTGAACACGAACACAAGTGAGGACAATCGAATCCATCTCACTAAAATCTGAGAACCATATAGTAAATAGTTAATTTGCAAATTATCAATTCATCGTCTCAAACTTGAATGTTCCTTTTGTAAATATCAGTCCATTGTCTCAAATTTCATTGTTTATGCATTTTCATACCAATTACGTTCCGTTCCTATTCTTTCCTTATCGAAATACATTCTATGCCTGATCACCGTTATATACTACTTATGTGGATATAAGTAACCCATACCATAATATTTCGAATACTTAAGGAATGATAAACAAACAATTGAGAATAAACAATGTACATATACATAAAAATTATGTACAATTCTTACCCTGGTAAACAATAGTATTCTTACGATTACGTACTGGATAACGTCTTGTTTGTTGTTCATCATGATCATCTTCTTCTTCATCATCAACATCATCTACACCATCATCATCTTCAAGCATTGCATTATTATGATCTTCTTCAACTTTTATTGAATGTGTACATGGTTTAATGTTAATGGATAAATTATCTTGTAATGAATTAGTTTGTACATTATATTGAATATTTCGATGAGTAGATAATGATTTTTTAGTTATTTCACAACGTAAATGTTTTCGTCTTTTTCTTTGTGGATAATAATTTGATGTTGATCTACGTGGACGTAATACACGATGTGGATAATGTAAATTTGAATCATCTGAACTTGAAGAATATAAAGTGGATTGATTCATTTTTTTATTGATATAATATCTTTGATTTTCATTGGTTAATGAATTTTCTTCAAAATTATTATTGATATGTTTAGGATCAGATGATCCATTTGATGAATTCTGATTAAAATGAACTATTTATGAGGAATAGAAATAAAATATTAGAACTAACAATAAATAAAACATAATCACATAAGCAATAAGAATAATATACATTTTTATATTGTTTGTTTGATATTATATGCAGCCCCCCCCCAAATGCCTTGGTACGGTCGAGAGTGAAGAGAGTAAATTCTCCCTCTCGAAACGCTCTTACATGACCACGTGTATACAACCACTACCAGGGGAAATCCTACTCACTACCTTCTCGCGGTGGTGGTGTTATCTACGAAATTGAGAGGACGAAAAGAGAATGTCAAGCATTTTAACCGGGTTGGTGGAAACGGAGGATCTACCTAGGGGAGTTAGAAAACCTTCATTCCAAACCAATGGTGCACATGGACTCTAGGATCCTGAAGGAATAAATGGCGTATGAACCAACAGTTGGTCACCGGCTACTATGAGACTGAATCTCCTGACGTTGCTATTATTATGAGCAAGAATAAAGATGGTTAAGTGGAAGAATGAGTGAATGAATAATACAACCTACCAATACGGTAGATCAATTAGAAATTGTCAAATGATAAGTACATCCGATCGGTCAAGAAACGGTTTTTACTTCCAACGGACGAGATATGAACCACTGATAAGTTTACTTTCCTAAAGGAGTACATACATAAATGGGATTCGGGTTAAACAAAAAAAAACATTTTTTCTCACTAAGTATATTTTCTCTCGACAAAGTGTATATCAGTATTAACTTCTGAACACCGTACATTACGGCACATGTATCCACCAATCACTTATTCACTAAACTACATTTATTCATGGTTATTTTCATAATTAATATTTGTATAGAATCATAGCATTTTACTAAAGAAAATAAGAATGAAGAGCATTTTCAAAATGTGTCCAAAGAGTGGTATGAATTGTAAAAAAAAACCATGTAATCGGTTAGTCACTTATAAACAACGTTGAACCGGGGACATATGTGGACCTGTATGAGTTATCACACTTAAGTATCACAATGAAATGAAATCATCAAGACAAATCCTACTACACTATAAGTACTAACAGTATCAGTGTTCGGAGAAAAAAATTAAGAATAAAGAATATGATTCGGAAAAGGAATAATTAACTTGTGAAAGAAACGATATAAAACTGAATATCTAGAGGAAGATTAACAGAAATGGAGTCAGTCCATGAAAATATTGACTACTGGACTGAGCTGTACTGGTAAGTACACACTAACTGGTTGAGGTCCGAGCGATCACCGTAACCAATTGGGTAATACTGATCACAACCGTCAACAATGGTGCAAATGCATACTATCAATACATTAACTACCATGGGATGTCCTAATAACTTCATTCAGCCGGACCAATCACCAGAGATTCACAACCTCGTTAACCAAACTTTCTTTTTCGACTATCACCCTATCTCTTACCTGAACATTGCTACCTCAGTGGTCCGAAAATACGTAGGAAATGGTTTGAAAACACCTATGATCAAAATCTGTAACCTATGCTTGTCTTTTACTTTCACAAACCATGTCTTATAGCCAAAGAGTACAATAGAGGAAACTGCTAGATGAAATTACTATATTTTAGTTGGTAGGTGAACATATTTCCACACAAACGTATACACAAAGCTACATGGATCTCACCGGACCACACCACAGAGAACCAGATAGATTATATTTGCATCAATAAAAAATTCCAAAGGACAATGGAAGATGTGAGAACCAGGAGAGAAGCTGACACAGCTTCAGATCAACACCTAGTTGTAGCCAATTTAAAACTGAAGCTAACGAAGAACTGGACAAACAACACTACAAAAGTTCAATACAGCCTTCCTTCAAGATACTGACAAACTCAATAAATTTAAGATAGCTCTCAGCAACAGGTTTCAAGCCTTACAAGATCTACTGAAGGAAGAAGAAACTACTATGTAGAACAGCTGAAAAGGTATCAAAGAAGCATTAACTTCAGCGTGTCAAGAGGTTCTGGGGCTCAAGAAACATCATCATAAGGAATAGATCTCTATAGAAACACTGGACAGAAATAAAGAACAAGAAGACATCAATTAACAACAGCCGAACACGAGCAGAGAAAGTCCAAGCACAAGCTGAGTACATAGAAGCAAACAAGCAAGTGAAGAAGAGCATTAGAGCTGACAAGAAGAAATACGTGGAAGAATTAGCAACGACGGCGGAAAAAGCTGCTAGAGAAGGAAATATGAAACAACTTTACGATACAACGAAGAAACTAACAGGGAAATATATTAAACCAGAGAGACCAGTCAAGGACAAAGAAGGCAGGCCAATCACTGAAATTCAAGAACGGCGGAACAGATGGGTAGAATACTTTTAGGAACTCTTGAATAGATCAGATCCATTGAATTCACTAAATTGCAACGCTACGGATGACTGTCGGACAATCATTTAAGTGGAACTCGTCACTGTACATCTGCTTCAACGACTACGAGAGAACGTTTATCAGTGTAGATAGAACATTATGGAAACTTCTTCAACACTATGGAGTTCCTGAGATTGTCAACATTATCCGGAACTCGTACGACGGACTACAGTGCAAGGTCGTGCATGGAGGACAGCTGACAGATGCATTCCAAGTAAGGACCGGAGTAAGACAAAGCCGTCTACTCTCTCCATTCCTCTTTCTTCTGGTGGTCGACTGGATTATGAAGACCTTGACATCTGAAGGAAAACACGGAATACAATAGACAGCTCAGAATCAATTAGACGATTTGGACTTCGCAGATCACTTAGCCCTCCTATCGCATATACATGAACAAATGCAGATAAAGACAGCCAGTGTGGCAGCAGTCTCTGCATCAGTAGGCCTGAACATACATAAGGGTAAAACCAAGGTCCTCAAATACAACACGGAGAACAGCGATTCAATCACTCTTGATGGCGAAACTCTGGAAGATGTACAATCCTTCACATACCTGGGAAGCATCATCGATGAACAAGGAGGTTCAGATGCAGACGTAAAGGCGAGGATCGGCAAAGCAAGGGTCGCATTTCTACAATTAAAGGACATATGGAACTCAAAACAACTTTCAACCAATATCAAAGTGAGAATCTTCAATACGAACGTCAAGGTAGTTCTACTGTATGGAGCTGAAACTGGGAGAACTACAACAACCACAATCAAGAAAGTACAAGTATTTATAAATAGCTGTCTACGCAAGATACTCAACATCCATTGGCCGGATATCATCAGCAACAGCCTTCTGTGGGAGAGAACAAACCAGCTTCCAGCTGAAGAGGAAATTAGGAAAAGACGGTGGAAATGGATAGGACATACATTACGCAAATCATCAATCTGCATCACGAGGCAAGCCCTAACTTGGAATCCTGAAGGGAAGCGGAAAAGAGGAAGGCCAAAGAACACATTAGGTCGGGAAATAGAATTACATATGAGAAGGATGAATAAGAACTGGAAAGAGCTGGAAAGGATGTCCCAGGACAGGGTTGAATGGAGAATGCCGGTGTGCGGCCTATGCTCCTCGACATGGAGTAACAGGTGTAAGTAAGAAAGGTGAACATCTCACATACACCGCAAGTGATGCAGGTTATTAAAAGTCAAGGGAGCTTATTGAGGGGTTGTAGGGACTTCCTCAGATACTAACTCACAAGATAAATGAAGTGATCAAGGCACTTAGTTTACTCGCTATGATCAGTAAAGGTGATTATGCAGAGCAATATTGAAGGAATATTTTGTATTCAAAGAAAGGGAAACGCATCCCAAACAGGTTTGCATCAATATTACAAGTACCCAGAAAACATTAAATTATGTCAGAATTTCCAGATAACCATGAGAAAATTTCACCATAAATGAACTGACCTAACTTCCTGTTACTTGGTCGACCACGTTTTCTTAATTGAACAGGTGACTGAGCAGGCAATAATGAACCAGACTGGTTAGGATCAGTACTCGTGATAGATTTAGTTGACATATCTAAATCGGGCTGGAAAAAACATAGACTATGACCAAGTATGAAACCTTTTAATACGAAGAAAATTACAAATAAAAGCAATTAAGTGCTTTTTATTTCCAAGAATAAAAGGATATGGCTTTTCCAGAAAGTATAGTTTTTTTCGCATTCACTTTTAAATTACATTCTGAATGAAAGAATTAGTGATGCTATTCAAACCAAGTAAGTAAATTGAGTTTTGAACTTATGGTCTAGTGATTAAAAACCGAAAGTTTTAATCACTAACCCCAGACTTCACAAAATAAGTCCAATAAAAAACCTGGCAAAAAATTAAAAACAGGAACAAACCTATCAGTTGCTCTTATTGACTATTTGACAAACACATATGACAGTTGATTCCGGAAATTGAGACATACCGAACAAAAATCGTGTCCTTATAGTTTTTACGACAATCCTTATGGATCACAATTCATTCTTACAAAGTGATAGTTTAGTGATTAAAACGCATTACGTTCAATCAGTATATCGCAGCCTTAAACTACACGTTACTGACTCCCGTTCGAGCAACTAGACAACATTTAAAATCCTTATTTAACCACTAGTAGCGCAGAATCTGGCTCTGAACACAGTGAGGAGCGGAAACAATTTAAATATGGAGTGACAAAGGTATAAGTAATGATCTTGGACAGCGGTGAGCAGTGAAAACAATAGATGGAAAAATTAGCTCTGACGGTTAACAATGGACAACTTTTCAGACTTATCTGAAAAAATATCACAAATTAGAACAACAAATACAAGCGAACAATATTGTTTTCAAATAGATCGTCGTCAATTTAGTATAAATCAGTATTTATATGAAAATATTAACCCAATGAAGGCAAATTATAATTCAATGGCTACAACTAAATAGATTGCGTAAAAGTACTGATAGTAAGACAGGTGCAATAGTGGTGGTCAAGGATAATAAAATAGTAGATGTTCTAGTCAACAGTTCTAAATAGGAAGTAGGTGAAAATTGGGTAAATAGACTTTTAAAAAATTACAAAGCACCATTATGTATGTAAATAATTAGATATTGGAGAATATAAGCAGGAGGTAAAATAAGAGATGTACAAAGATAAAAAAATCGTTTGTTAAGTCATATCTGACCAATGAAGGGACAGGAGTGTCACGAATTTCTTCTGAACATATAGACTAGAGTTGTATGTTTAGATCCTTTTAGCTCCTGTTATATGTAAAAGATGGGACAACCCGATTGAGAAATGACGAAGGTATACTATAGACCACTCAAAATGATCTGGGCTTGTCAAACATATGACCATTGTCAACCAGATAGACCAAAATAGGACTGTGTATTGCATTTTTCTGTCCTTTTTTAAACCATACTGATATCAAGAAGTCAAGGGTTAGTGCGACCTTCACAAAACGTATAATTCAAGGATCATAAAGCAAAATAATTGGTTAGTAAGATGTATTTAAGTACTACAAAGCCCACTAAAACAACCAGGCTATTTCGCGATTTGGAAACTTTGACAAGCATGCCATTCTTATGGCCTCGGGTGAGCCACTAAAAATTAAAACGATTCCCCACGAGATTCTGCGCGAAATCGGAACCGTAATGTAAGATATTATACAAGTTATAACCAGAGATTGGTGGCTAATAGTTGAATCCACTGCTGGCCACCATCAACCTCCACTTATAATGCTTTTAATTCAAGACAATATCGGGGCCATTCGCACAGGATACACATGCCAATAAGAAACTGACCAATTGCAGTCCTAAACATAAATGGGAAAATTCGAACAACCAATAAAAAATGAATTATATCTTGCAGGTTACTATGGACCAAGTGAAAACGGTGAATACTCAGTTCCTAAAGTGCTTGAAATTGATGGCAAAAAATATGAAATTCAATGGATAGTTAGGGGTAAATGTACAGCTAGATACTTTTACTCTAACTTCTGTCTAAATTTTAAGGATGAACCAATCAGATCTAAGATCGCAGATCTTGGATTTTGGCGCAAAATTGATTCATTCATTTGGTCAAATGGCACCTTAACACTACGGTTGACATCAGTTCGTGATGGAATTATTATTATCTAAATTATAATCCTAATTCCTCTCATTAATTTATAACTCTGATTTAACTCTGGTAAGTAGGTGGGCGTTTTCAAGGCCATTTTGGTGTTTCTCAAAGGTCGTTCATGAATTAGTCTCACCAACTTTAAGTTTGGTAAGTTTGTAAACAAAAGAGTAGCAGCGCTCCACTACATTTTAGTTGATGTCAGCTCAAGATGGAAACCATAACCCTTTTGCATAATACCTAATGTTATTTAGTGACTAACATCCTGCAGAGTTATAACCTAACTCACAAAATTGGCCAACCACTGATATGTAGACTTAACCCTTTTTCCCTTACCATGAATAGTTCAACATGTAAGGATTTGTTAGTCACATTAAAACTGTCATTCCACTGTAATTTTGTTGGTGCTCATCGTTAATTTTCTGATAACTAAGTTTTTTAATTATACAATAAGTCGCATAAGTCGTCAGCACAGACTACTAACAAAAGTTTGCACATACGATTTCTCCAGCTTCATTTTATTCAAATTGTCATGCTAATCATATTTACACGTCTTTTCAATAAATATAAAATGCATTAAAAACCAGTTTTTAAGTTGGCGGAGATGACAGAGGTGAGTTTTAGGTCATAGTGGGATTCGAATCAGCGTTTATTGAGCTACCAATTTTATGCTTAACCTGTAAGGTGGTATACATAAAAACCGGTGGAAACTGCACAGATGCATTTATCCAGGCTAATTTTAATGAGATCTGGATTCACTTGTACCAGAAATTTCTGGTAATATATTTGTATTTGCCGTTAAACAGGGAAAATTGATATGAGAATAGTATGTTATTTTAATTCTTACATCAATGAAAGGAATGTGTTAAATCGCTAAATGCATGAAGGGTATGACAGCTTAGAAATCAGGTCAGAATACAGGTGAATAACCGGAAACGTAATAGTTAGAACATAGACACATAATGAGCGTGGATGTTTAAGCTACAAGTAATGAAACCGGGTTGCCAATAAGAATGTTTCGTTGATGGTTTATCAAACCCTGTCTTGAGAAGTGTGAAAAGTTCTGTTGTTAACATTATCTAAGGACCCAGAGATTAGGAACGGAAAGGTCAATGTATCATATTCAATTCGGGCTCTTTTGGATTCCTAAATAAAAAAATAATGCCAAGAGATTTGCAGTAATGCTGAACAGTAAAAAGCACATTGTTGTATTTTTCAAGCATCAAACATTCATAAAACAATTGATGGAATTATTCAGGCCACAATAGTAGCTACTTACAGTCACAGCGCGTCGTTTCAATTGAGCGAAAGCTAGAAATGAAAATGACATTGTGACACTGTTTTTATAGCACTTGCAAAAAAACGACTCAATCCACCCAAATATGGCATTCCATAATTTTAGTAAGTACACAAGAAATTCAGACAGAAAGAGACGCTAAAGCTTAGAAACTGATAAAATATGGAGCCCCTTAAAATGGCGACTAATTCCCCATATTTATTAGTCTCATCGACTTGAATAACATGGCTCATAATTTTTCGACTAAGGCAATATTCAGGAAGTAACTGTTGACAATCAAACATCTTGAGATTGTAGGATTCACGTTAACGATAAGGCACCTTGGACACACACATAACTAGAAAAAACTGAACACTTCAAACTGACGTTTACGAGATAAAAATCGTAATGTTGAAAATATAATAAAACACTAATACCGCTGATAAGAAGCATTTTTACTTACACACTGTTCACGAATATATGACTGACGTCGGGTAGGACGCATTCTTAAAAATATCAAACAACAAGATACCAAAGATTACAAAAAACCTTACACCGGCGCCGACTGAAACAAGCGCAGGTCATTGGTGAAACTAACAAACAAAATTGTGTCCAATGTCTAATATTGCACGACACAAAATGAGGATGAGCGGTTTCTATTCTAGTTTTAATTTCACCATAGATGTGAAAGATTGTATATGTGATCGGGTTTTAATTTCGTCCCACACTTCAAAAAGATAATTGCAACGCCTTTGAAAACTTGTTCTACTATTTACTAGTTGCAACTATCAGAACGCCTTAACCTCACGCTTAAGAAGTCTCCTATTTTGCCGGCTGGGTACACCCGCAAATTTAGGTACTTCTGGTTCAGTCTGCTGATTCATTAGTTTTTACTCTTATAATGCCCACTAGTAATACAGTCACATGAGTTATCCTATCTTTTGGATAGAGCTTAAACCACGAAGCTGTTTGGCACTTCCTCGAACTAAATGCAATCTTTAAACTACGTCCGTTAAAAACATTTTGGACTTTGATGGACCTGATGAACTAGGTGAACGTTGACGAGCAAACTGATGACTCAATCTTTCGAATCCGTGTCAGTCAGCGAGGTCAATACAACATTGTCATCCAAATGCTCAAGTCGTATTGTCCCATCCATTTTTCATTTATCAGCTATTCTCGTTCTTCCATTCAAATTTTCCTACCATGGTTATCGTTATTATGATTATCGCATTATTGTGGCGGAGTTATTACTGATACTTATATTGACATTAAATTACGACACTTACGAAATTGTACTGTTCGTTTATCAAATTATAAAATCATGAACATTACATTAACGTCATGAAATATACAACTCACTAGACTTGATGACTTAGTGAATTTGTTCCACTCATTTTCAGTATCATTCCGTTTCGTTTTTACTTTCTCATTCACATGTCTGAGGTCATTCTTGTAATATTCATATCACACCCGTATGTTTCTTCTTGATACTGTCTCATTATATCGTTTTGAATGCCTTTAATACCAATATGTCTCTTCACCAGGGCCAATCATCTGCAGTAGGTTCTGGACCGTCCATCACACCAATGACTATATTAAAGTAACCCATCCTTTATTGTTCATTTTCGCCGCCATATAGCCATCATCAGATATTTCCAACATGTTTGCTAGCTGCTCGTTCATCGGACGACCTGCGATATTTTGTGAAAACTGGCGATCTAGTGATACATACATGCAGACGAACCATCAGTCTAATTGGTTGAATGAGCATTCTGCATGCTGGTAATATCATCGTCACAACTATCCGGGCTATGGAGCCGGTAAACAACGCTATTATTAACATAAGTTCCGAGTCATGCTCATGGTAGTAACGACTTTTATTCTATGTATGCAACCATTTCTCATACATATCATTCGTATGTAGCAATTGTTGATTTCCTTTTTTCAACGACAATCTAAATCGGAATCCATTCATACATCTACAGCCATTTTCGCTTAATCGATGAATCCAACAGTCATATTCATTAAATTTAAGGCGCCGTATTACTAACCGATTAGTAACGGATGTGTTCATCCTACTTATTTGTTGACATGACTGTAGTCGATAGTCTGAGGACTCGTTTAGAATTGCGTCTGAAGGATATCACTTTCTAAGGAGTTTTGAACAGTAAATTCAATATACCTACCGAAATCACTTCCAATAAATATTATAATTCCGATGAAATTCTGAAGTTGTCACTTCATCACCCATGAGAACACTACAAAGATCTGTAATGGCACTGATTCCTAATCTTACGATCTTTGAAAGCTCTGCATATAATAATCTGTAGAACCTTGATCAACGTCGCTATTGGTACTGCATTAGTAATAGATCTAGTCCTAAAACTGTAGATTTGTCATAATGTGAAAACCCGATCTATATGATCTTAAGTGGGAGTCACGTCATTGTCATCGCGATTCGTTGTATCGCAAGAATCAGCAATATATTTTTTGATGTTTCTAAAGAACACATTTGAGCTAGAGACAGAACAATATATTTAAAATGAATAGAAGTAACAAGTTACACAGTAATGCGCAACCCTGCAATGATGAGCCATGTCATAAGGTTTTATGGATGTTCCCCTGTCCACAATTTTTGATCTTCTCTTGGTGTTACATGTTAAAAGTCTATTTTCCCAGTTATCTCATGTTCAGATTTGAATATTTTGTGATAAGGGCCAATACCAGTACAAATCCTCTGACAAATTTTATATGGAACTATTTTAATCAGACTTCAAATATAATAGTGATTGTAATAATAATTACTGAACCTTATTTGATCTGTTAGAGGTGTAATGTTTAATATCTAGCTAAAATGTAGTGTGTGCAGCGAGTAGATGCAGTTTACTACTCGAAGGCAACTTGTCAGGCTTTATGGCCGTTTCCAGGCTCAGCTTGAGTAAGATGATGTTTCAAAGCGTTAGTATGTTATACAATATAAAACATATTAACTCCTATAGCTAACCAATGCGTACTATGATTGTCTCACCTTTGTCTGCATTAAAGACGTAGAGCACTATGAACACGTTCGAACGTATTATATGAGAAACAGGATTACTTTCACAACACAGCGAAACCATTTCTCTTCTAGACAGTAAGTCTACAATTGTCACGTTCGTCTATCCCTGTGTCACAAAATACATTGTCCCTCTTGATTACAACATCCATTTTCGTGGACCGAAAATGCAAATTCCAATCTAGAAGGAAAATTACTGAATGTGTTTGAATAGATAACACGGATTAGTTTTGTAATTACCTTTTGTTGTTATTAGCGCTTTTTTTCCAACCAACCGACTATTCTCTACAGAAAGGCTTTGTAGTGGCTGGCACTATGTCAAGCTAACATAAGTTATTCTAGATTCTGAACAAACCGATTTATTCATCCCTCTCCGGCCACACTTTGACCTTGTTGGTAAGTCCTTTATAAACCTTGACTGTTTCTGTATGTTTGTGTGTTAATTACTTTTCCTGTTTATCAAATGTATGAAGCTTATTTTTGGCCTAACTAAAATTATTGAGTTTTGCTTAGTCGAATCGAGTTGATCATCTGGTTTTATTTTGCTTATATTCCTACACTTCGTATCTCTGATTGTCTGTTTTGGTCAGTGAGTGTGTGGTGGTATTTGTTACTAACCACACAATCCTCGAACTTAAACAATTACTGAGAAGATTCATTTTCAACATGTTACACTAAGAGAAGGTCAACAATGGTGATTGAAGTATCATGGATTCATGTTGGTGCGACTTGGCAGTGCAGACGTAGTCATAATATGTAAAACCTATTGAATGTTGTATGAAACATATTGCTTTCTACACATCCCAAATGTGTCCTTCAGAAATATTAGAAGTTATATTGCTGATTCTTATGATACGACGAGTCAGAATAGACAATGATGTGACTACCATGCAAGATCTTCCAGATTATGCAGTCACATCATGGCAAATCTACAATTCGGCGATTAGGTTTATTGTTATAGTAACACTAATAACCAACTACACCATAATTCTACGCGTCTGTGAAATATACGTAGTCAAAATTCATCCTCGTATTTGGTTTAGTTTATACCGTCACTTAATGGCATACAAAAATATGTACGCCCGTATAATTCGGGCGTTGCTGACTAACTGTCTGGTATAGTATATTCAGTTAGTAACTGGATTCAGAAGATAGAAATTTCAAGCTTATAACTCCAGTCATGGTCTGTTAATTTATACGGCATTTTTTACTGATGAATTGTCGATGAGGTAGCTGACTGAATGAGAACACAGAGTGACATGAGTGATTGGTCAGTTTATTGATAATAATCATTATACATGGATATGAAGAGTGCGTGTACCAGAAAAGTTAAAGGTCAAATTCAAACAATATCTTTGTCATCAATATAAATGATTCCATCAATAAAACTCATGGGAAATAATAATAGCAAAATTTGTTCACGTCACGTCTGTGTTAATCATCTCCGAATTTTCTCTACTGTTTATCTTCTGGTTAATGACATCATGATAAAGATCATTTATTATCTTCCTCAGGACGCCAACCAAGAGAAGTATTTCAATGCGATTTTTTAAGAGAGGTAGTGACTTTTTGCGTAGTTTTTGCATACAAACCGTACTTGGCCAACTTTAACTCGAATTATTTCGGTTGACATTCAGAATTTTCCTCACATCAATGTTGAGGTGCTCATTTTCTAGTCGATTCACACACCACTGGTCATCAAGTGTATTTTCATTAATTTTTAACCCTATTAATATGTTTACAGTGATCAGCTGTGCCTATAAGTGCGGACGGTCAAAACACTTCCTAGCTGTGGAGGGAAGAATTCAATGTGATGCGTGTTAGACGTGGTTCCAAAGGATGAGCACCTGTTTAAAAATCGCCGCATACACAAGGTGTTAGAAACTCTGCTCACATTCGTTCTGTACGTTTCGCGGTCTGAGTAACACATTTCGGGTCTAAGATGCGAAAGATCCTCTGGCGTCGTTCAGAAAGAACGTTTTTGGGGGCTTCACAGGTAATATGAGAACTGACAACGGAAAATGTGTCAGATTAGTAAGTGTCGTTATGGCAGAAGCCAAACAATAAACTACGAGACTTGGAAAAAGAAGAACCTTTTAGACAGAAACTGAACTACTCCTTGATGTTAATGGACCCAAACAATGCACTAATGATTACGTCACATCCCATTGTATTTACCAATTTACATGTTTGTGTGGACACACATACATAGGGAGGAGTAATCGAACAATGCAATCAAGGGTCAATGAACATGTGCCCAGATGGCTTCAAAATCAGTGTGTGTCAAATGATCCGATTAATGTAGGAGGTAGAAAACCAAGTTCATCGATAGCAAAACACATAATTGAAACGGGACACAAAATTAACATTAATACAGCATTTAGAACGTTGTATAGAAATTGTCAAGGTCGAATTCTTAAGTTTATTGAAGCCTTAGCTATTCGTAAATTTAAACCCCCCTTATGTGTACAAAAACAATTTGTCGTAACCTTGAATTTACCTTGGTAATCCTTAAGTCATTCTATGGCCTAGGATAACGCGACAAATTCTTATTCTTTCTCCCCCCTTAGTTATTTTAATTGTACTTTTATTTGTTTGATCTTTATTAATTGACCTTTATTAATTTTCATATAAAAATGCCTTGACAAGTATATGTGTGACCCGATTGTTCGAAATGTATAGCGCAAATACATCACATTTTACAGATCAACTCCGTCTTCTTATTGTTCTATCAAAATTTATAAAAGGGACTAATTGCTTTAAATTATATAAATTAGTACCCAAATGCCTAGATAATACGGTAACCGCTGTATGTCGCTTTTACATAGCTATCCTGGGTAACGAAAACTGGACAAAAATGCAGAGACCAAGAAGAGAGAGAATAAAAGCTACGAACAACCCTCGTCCTTGGCAGACTTTCATTCTCAGCCACAGGGTTCATGTCCAAAGCCCAAAAGTATGACCAAACTTGACCCTAGCGGGCTGAAAAATGTTTGATCATATAGAATGTTATCGTATTGTGTTAGTTCCAAATGACCCCGGTCCAAAAATCAGACACGCTTATGATTGGGAGATGGTTGGTGAATTTATTAGTAGCATCTTATCAGATGACTCTACAGGAGTTCAGATCAAAAGCTTGGTAGGAATAGGTGATAGGACCAACAAAAATGTCGAACCACGATCATGTAGACTCCTCACTGTAATTCCAGGGTAGCAGTAACGACGAAATCTTTATTTTAGTAGTGCTGAAAGTCAACACAGCACCAACATTCGAGTAAAACTTGACATGTCCCTAGAAGGTGGAATAAAATGTAAGGTGGCGCTTGCTAGACTAGAAGCATGTCAAGAGAACGGCGAAGAAAATTTCTTTTCCCTATTTTTTGAGTAGCCAGGAAGTGAACGTTATCAAAACCTGTGTAGGTAGATTGCTCTCTTTAAGGGCTTATAATATAAATGCTCGTAGGTTAGGCGTCTAGAAGTCCGCTACGAGTATTACTGAACGAACTAAAACCACTCCTCAAAACTGTAGACAAAACTTGGTTAGTCTATGACGCTATTTCAAAATTGTGGGGATACGAATATCTAAGTAGTGATAAGTGTGGATGCAGGAAAGAGGTTTGGGTCTTTATGTACGTATCTAATAATAAAGAGATCCGTTCCTTTGATTGTAAACCTCATGGCAGTGGAACTCGTGAAGTCACTTGCTGTAAACTGATTTTCGATGGTTGCACATTTGTACTAGGTGTCATTTATCGTAGCCCGATCGGCCTAGCTAATGACCCTATTGTAAAGCACATTCACCGTAGAGTGAAAAGAGTACCTGTTATTGCACCTGATACTAGTTGAACAAAGGGTAGTCACTGCAGGATCTTAAAACTCCTTGGATAGTGGGCTCTTGAGGACGTTAATAGAAGATACTTTATTTCAGCATGCATCTCACCCACCACTATTAAATTCGGACCAAGGATCTTTATTTGACTTAGCAACCACGCATGCGACCGTGAATATCGCATATCTCGATGTCTTCCCATAGTTAGCAAACAGCTACATGTTTCGTCATTCATGTTCAGAGCTTGTAACATAATATGCGGTCAGGTTAAGGAGAAAATATCCACTATCAAGAAGTGCTCCGCAAAAACAGACTGGTCAGTAAATGCTATCTCATCAAGTGGAGTAGCACGGTCCATAACCAAGTGTACCCTTAGCTCAGGCATATTTTCGTTTACATCATGCTTAATATCAAGCAGACGGAATAAATATTCATCATGGATAAATATACGGGTTGAAAATTTTCCTAGTTCAAGGAAGATGCACTGAAGTATGTTTATCTCCACAGCCTCTGAACAGTACAAATATATTTACTGCGGGAACAGAAACCCTTGCAAAGGGTTGGTATGTAAGGCCGAACTTTCGTATAAAAAATAATTAGTCAGGCATTGTGAAAATAGTCCAAAAAGACTGTTCTCGTATGCAAGGAGGCGAACTCAGTGAACTGATATGATCACACCGCTTTTGATACTTGAAAATCCATTGACGTTGACATGCAATGAGGTATTGAAGGTTGAAGCTACATGGGAAGACTTTAATAAAAGGTTTTCGGCCGAGAGGGTGAAGGACCAACAGTTAATGGTAAAGGTGTCCACTTGTTGATTGTTCTTGTGATCGTTGAGAAAGGAGCTGTCTTGCGATTACTTTAACGTCCTAACCAGATAAGTCTAATGGTTCTAACGATATCCGTCTTAAGATTATGACAGCCCTGATAGACGTAATTGCTGGACCTTTGAGAGTACTGTTTGATAGGTCCTTGAGGTAGTCTGAACCGCGAAAAGTTTGAAAAAAGGCAGCAATCTGTTGAGTAGTACATACTTAGTTGGTAACTGTCGTCCTGTTAGTATGACCAGTTTAGTCAACGAACTGATGAAAAAGAATATTCGAATGGCCATTTTCATGTATATGGGAATAATCTTCAACTCATGGAACATCGTGCCCTTAGGAAAAGCCTGTCCTACTCGATAAATCTTTTTACTTTAAGTGGAGATTGAGCTGCAGTGAGAGATAAAAGTCTTCCGGTGCATGTAATTTCCACAGATCTACGTAAAGTTTCTGAAAAGTCCTCTCACGTGGGTTTTATATTATAACTGGAAACTTTCGGGATCCATTGTGAAATCATAAATTTGATGAGTGACTCTCAATAATTGGGGACAACAAGTAACGATATGTGGGACTCTATCAGTGTGAGATTCCATACAGCGTGATACTCATCAAGATGCAGCCATCAGTCTCTTTATTACTTTATGTGAATGACTTGCCAACTGTAGCAAAATCATCTGTTTAGCTGATTGCAAATGACTGAAGATTTAAAGACTGACATGCTGTATGCTGAACAATGATCTTTGCAATAATACGTTCTATCCTCTCATATCACTGATAAGCTGAGAGGATGTACTAAGAAAATTCAAAAAGCGGGGTCAAGTTGTTTACGTCTGGGATCCCGTTTCTCATATCAAGGCGTGGATTACTGATACCAGTACAACCGTTGATAAATTCGAAGCAAACTTTGATATCCACAGTAATCCAAATCGGAAGGATTAACATAGATTGGTTGTCATTCTGTTCTTCCTACTGAAGAGCGAAAATTGTTTAAAGGTGTCAAGGTCTGTTAGTTGTACCGCGCCATATTGTAAGGTTAGCTTGCGGGGTTGTGATGTCGTTTGTTGTCCGTATCAGGGGTCTTCCGTTCTCAGCGAATGCGGATGATATAATCAGTTTTTTCAACGGTATTTCCGTTGCCTGTGTTTTGATTTCTTGCAGATTGCAGGATAAGAGGTGGAAAGCGTGGCATATATTTTCCTCAAGGGTCTAATGGCCGTTCTAATGGAGAAGCTTTTATCGAACTGGAAAGTAGAGATGATAAACAGAAAGCCATGACTCATCATAATGAGCATTTGGGTCGCCGTTATATTGAAGGTAACTTACGACTACCCAATAATCCGGAAAGTATTTGACTCATGCTCTGAGGAATTGAATAACGCTATGGGATGCAGACCTTTCAACTCTCCGAATCGGAGGGAACATGTTGTTAGGTTACGTGGCCTTCCGTACGATACTGAGAAAAAGGAGATATATGCCTTTTTTAACGGTAAGTAATCCTTGGTCGTCTACTTCTTACTAGTTTATAATATATATGGGAAGGTAAGCGTTTTCTATTATTCTTCGTAGCTAACGTAGAACTTCGTATAAACAGGCAACAGGAATAGGTATTTGAGAACTAGTAGTCAGTACTAGTTTTAGTTAGAGTATTTTCTGTTCTGGATATTTTTAATTGTACTTGATATGCTTAGTCGGCGAGACTAATTTATGGGCGCTAAGTAGACTTGGGAATGTTCAACTAATTACTAGGGCTACACGAGGGTTTCAAAAGCAATGTGAAAAATAAGGTTTATGGCTTACAAATGGTAGTCAGTGTTAGGAATTAGATTTATGGTCTTAATCACGAACTGGCATCAGCTAAAATCGCAGCGCTTGAGCGCTTCGCTATTAACACAGAGCATTGTCAAAACATCTGACCACATAATCTAAATGCATATGTAAGTGCGTTTTCACGGTTTGTTTGACTATCGGTTTGTAGTTAAATGTAGTAACTAACAATAGATTGTAAAATCACTGTTTTTATCTAGTCTGCAGTAGCTTCAGATCCGTAGAACGGACATTCACAAAGGTTACCTTGATTTAGTCACGTCTCCTTAGTTTCTAAAACTTACACAATGTATCTCGCACATTGTGGTGCTATTGCTTTACTTATACGCAATTATGTTTAGGCCATAAGCTGTTTGTTTTTGTCCTCCACACTTACTGATGACTTTATATAAGTATGATACCTTGATAATTTTTCATTAAGTTCAGAGCTACTAAGAACGTGTGGAATCCTACTTTTCAACTAAAGTATTTTACATGGTCATTCTGTAACTGTCCAATATTCGTTGCATCGCTAAGTTGTGCTTAAGGTATCAAATTATTGCGCATTAGTAGTAATGATGTATCAGTATTATCGTGTCATTGTAGGTAGCGTTATGTAAGTTTTCGTGTTATCAAAGACAGTAAGTTGTTATCGATCATACTTTTCTATTTTTCGCACTATATGTAGTTGTTTCTTGACTCCGGAAATTTTGTGAATTCACTTATCAGTATAGTGGTTGTATTTTACTGGCCGCTTCTATACGTTGATAGATAGAGGGTTTGGTAGTTAGATTCACTTTATGTTTGAGCACCAAAGTTTGATCCCTAGCATATATGCACAATACGCCGTTTGAAACCTAACGTTTTCTGTTCCGTCCACCGAAATACTTCTCTGTTTGCCTGAAGGTAGCTGATGTTTTTTCCCTGACTCATTTCGTAGTTTTGACTAATGCATAGTAGCCGTTTTTGCGGTCTGTAAAGTGTGTTCTTAAACAGATTTAATCACTATATTTATCAGACAACAAATTCAGTGTTATTCTGCCTTTTGTATATAGCTAGTTTTTCTCCGAGTTTCGGTAATCTTTGAACAATAGGATCCTTTGTCTTTATGCAAAACAAGCCTTCTAGAAACTGCCCTCAAATGCCATGGCACGGCCGAGTGAGGGAGTCTGCTCCGGGTAGTATTACAGCACACACACAAACCAAGTGAAATTTTTACGGTGCATATGTATTTGGTGCCCCTTTATATCAATATTTGTATTCAAATAAACAAATAAATTCTGGAAAGTGTTACTGCTTATTAATCAATGAGAAAGTTCGTATTTAGGCCTGTTGTGCTCACAGTGAGAGTGTGATTGTTCTTATAAAATAGCATTTTTTATTTATGGTATTTCGACTGATCGTACGAGTTTGGACGGCATGTCAGTCACCAGTTACTCTTAGCTTAATGACAAACATTCCGTATATTTAACCGCACCTAAGTTTAGTTAATCAGAAAACCCAACTCTAGTTTGTCTGTGACGAACCTCTCGGCTGTTACGGTACTTTAAGCTGATGCTTGTCTGCTCATCTAGGTTTGAACTATACTTGCTGCATTACAGCTCACAATGGTATTTAGTCTTCAAATCTTCGTGTCATCAAGCAATCCAATATTAGTTAATGTCCAAAATTATTTAAGCAACTCTAGGAAGTACTGATAAAGTTCACATTGGCGTTCATTTTGCAATGTCCTGAGGTTTTAACCAGGTTGGTGGACACTGAGAGTCCACCTAGGTAAGTTGAAAAAACCCTGATTCCAAACCAATGGTGCACATGGGCTCCAGGATCCTGGTGGAATATATTGCGTATGAACCAATCGTTGGTCACCAGGTACCATGGGACTGCATCTCCTTGCGTTGCTCCACTGCCTTGTGGATCAGACCTTTAGGTCGAAGACTCCGGGTGTGGCCTCCTAAGAAAACCATCTGTTTCGGTTTGGGCACTCGGGTAGTATCATAGACCACACTCAAATCAAGTGACTTGTGTGGCGCATATGTATTTGCTGCCTCTGTACAAATATTTATGTGTCCACATAAATATAATGATAATAAACTGAAACTTGGGGGAAGCAGTTAGAAACAGGTTGTTGAATTATACATCCAGATAACAAATTCACTACTTTATGACATAGTCTTCAAAGATTTTCATGGGAACAGCTAGAGTCTCCAGCCATTTGTTACGACAGTCACACGGACCCCAACTAAGTAGTCTGCATCTGCCAACATGGCTCAGACCAGAGGTTAGTGACTTCAAGCACTGAGGCCACGTTTTGGTTTGCCCGCCTCCAACTCTCTTCCAATCATCCCCAACACTAGTCATTTAGCATTGCGCGTCATGGCAATCGGTGTTCAGGCATACGTAACACGTGGCCCAACCATCTCAGTTGTGAAGATTCATAACCTCATCAACTGATTTACCATCATTCCCTAATGCCCTACGTCTAACCTCACTATTATTTGCCCAGTGATCCACCAGATGTGAGCAATATTTCTAAGGTATCTGTGGTCAAATACTAGAAGCTTACGAATATCTTCAACTCTTAACAGCTACGTTCAGCGGCCGTAAAGTAAAACAGAACGAACTGCCGCGCAGTATACTCGTTCTTTTATTGATAGACGGACATCTCACCTTCGCCATAGGTGACGTAAGTTGGCAAAAGCCAAACGAGCTTTTCGAATTCGTGTTGAGATTTTGTCAGACGCCAACCCATTAGGTCTAATCAGACTTCCAAGACAAGTGAAGTCGACGCGCTCGACTACTTCACTCCCTACCCTTAGTTCAGGCGTTGACGCAGACCAGTCCTGAAGTAACAACTTGCATTTAGAGGGAGAGGAGCGCATTCCAAACATTCTGGCATTGTTGCTTCCAAAAAGTAAACATCAGCAACTGATCCAACTCTCAAGACTTGCTGGAAAAGGTAGAGTAAACATGTAGTCAACAAGATATTAATTGGATTTTTTCAGTGTATTTACCAATCACTCATTAGCAAAACAGAGCGTCGCACAAATATATATCAGTCTGAATTACTGCAACAACATAATGGAAGGAAATTGGTAGACAAAAAGTAAGGATAGTTGTGTCTGCATTATCTAAGATGGTTTTCTAACTGAAGATAGTCCGTAATTAATCATCGTTTTTGTCAATGTGTTATGTTAACTACATTTATTGACCAACAGCACAATAGGCACTAATACGGAATCACTTCTTGACCCACCACTTATTACTGGCTGTATAGCAACCCTAAAATATGATATACATACGTCTTGTCAGTTAGCCCATTCTAATAGTTTTTTTCGCTTTTACTGATTGCAGCTACTTTTGGTCAAATAAGGAGCTTATCTTAGGCTGTTACTAACTTGTTTAGTATAACGTCTGATCGTTTTATTTGTTTCATTCCTTTCCTAATTTCTCGGGTTTTATGAATTCTTGGGATCGGCAGGCCTGGAAATAGCTCCCAACGGTATCGGGTTATTGGTGGATCATATGGGTCGTTGCACGGGGGAAGCGTATGTCCAATTCACATCTTCTGAAAGTCTAGCTCGGGCAAAGGAGAAACATATGGAGAAGATAGGGCACAGGTGCATATTTTCGGGTTTGGATGGGAGGTTTGGGTATTATTATTAATGTTTTACGTAATGGTCCGTCGTATGGGATGCTTAATATTTATTTGCTTAAGTCAACAACTTGTCAGTTAATTGTCGTAGAATTTATTGTCCCAGGTGGTTCACTTCATCACAGTTGTTCTTTTTTCAGATACATTGAAATATTTGAAAGTACAATGATGGAGGCTAACACGACCATACAGCGCCAAATGGAAATAAATCGTAAGTTTCCAAACAGTAATTTAGATGACGTATTTAGAAAGCCGTGGTTCCAGTCGAGGACCGATGTTCGGTCGAGGAAGTCGCGATGGTCATCCCGGTGGTACGGGTCATCATGGAGGTTCCCGAGGAGGATATGATGCGCCCCCGTTTAGTCCAAACGGGTCAGGTCCAAACAGAGGTCCAGTTTCTGGAAGATTTACGCCCTATGGTCGACCACCACATGTTTTCGGACACCCGGGATACAGTTCCTCCCAGAGGCTTTGAAGGACCTTCTCCCTCAAAAGGATCTAATTTCGGGCCACCCGGACATTACGAATATGATGATCCACAAAGTTTGACTGGGCATTCTGTTCGTATGAGAGGGTTGCCATACTCAGCGACCAAAGAGGATATTAATCGTTTCCTTTCTCCTTTACAACCAGTCAACATTCGGATAAAATTCAATGCGGTAAGTTGCCGTCATACTTCCTAGTTACTTTCATTCCGTGTCTTGATAACAAATAAATCTATTTTTTATATTTTAGGCTAATCGGCCCACCGGAGAGGCAGTTGTGGATTTTGCCAGTCATGATGAAGCGAAGGAGGCAATGAAGAAGGATCGTGAAAAAATTGGGCCTCGTTACATCGAACTTTTCTTAGCATCCACCCCTAAGGGAATCTCTCCTTCGTCTCGCATAGTAAGTCACTGTTGGAATTGGATTATTTATTTGTAGAATAACAATGCACCAGTTCCTAGTCGTCGATCTCCTCCTGTCCACAGTAGTAGAGGCCATCAAGGGTCACAATACGCCAACTTTCCTCAGCAATATGAATATGATGATATAAATTATGCGGAAGATGTAGGGTACAATTCAGGTCCAAGTAGACCAGATTTTAATCAGCCATATGATAGTTTTCACAACGGCACGAGTGTAAGAGGACCAATCAGGCCTTCAGGTAAGTTCTCTACTTTTAATCACAAGTATTTTTCAGGAGATGGTTATTCAGACTACAGATATCGTCAAGGAAATCACTATTGAACATGAGATATTATTTTACATGTACTTTACGACTATACAAAAATAAACATTTTAATAGAAACTTGCATTGGTTTGTATCTTATTTATAGTACTCACTTATCTATATGAGATAGTCAGCTACAACGTAGGACCTCAGTGCCCGAGAGACAACTGATTAAGGTCAGTCACACACGACCTTTTTGTAGGTAATTTTCGTGTTAGCTCCGTACTTGTTGAGACCTTACCGCCGGAGACGGATATCCGTGGGATAAGGCGAGATGTGTATTTCTAGGGTAGACCTTTTCTAACCCCACCCCTCCTTGTGGGAAGGTGGCATCGTTGTTATGCTGGTCGTCTGAAGGGAACACCTTACTGCCGCCACACCTCTGTACAGTCAGCAGTACGACTTCGCTCTCAGACCTTAGGTTTGCTGCTTTCAGTTTTACCGCTCTTCAACCGACCTGTCTGGAGTAGTAGGCCCTCGAGGGACGATTGTTCCAGCCAGTATAGCTCGACTGGTTCATCACGATAGCAAGCCTGACCACCACGTTAAGGTAGCAACAACGCTCGGGTCTATGTGAGATAAGGTATCAACTGTAGGTATAGTATATTACATTGCACCAACAATTACTTCAGCAAAGTAATTTTATGCATTGAGTAATGAAGTCAAGTTTTAAGTTTCTTTAAAGAATCTCGACCGCAAAAGCTAATATTAATGGCGAACTTGTGATCAAGGACTTCTACATACTTCCGAGTATGGACCATAATACCATCAGATACATGTGTATGATTACCCACAATTTCTGCACATATTGTATTGTTAGTTATAGTGAAGCAGCATTGGTGCTCCTGGCCATTTTGCTGATAGCAATCATCACAATTTACGTCATGGTTACTTGAACAGTACAGTATTCAATACGCTTAACTGAAATGTCATATCTGACGACATTCAATACTTTTGATCAGGAAATCATACCTAGCTCCTGAAAATCGATACAGAAGAGAATTAATTTAGTTTAGCAAAACTACAAATATACAACATATTCATTAAGCATAGTGGTTATTTGGGAATGCACTTTAAAGCGCATACTTGTGATTATTAGACACTTATCTATGGACATAACCTAGGAATCAGTTCATTCCGCTCCAAATATTTCTCTGTGGGTGAATACCAATGATACAACTATTAGCTAGGTTGAGGTTGATTTTTTAAACTAATAGACCACTGTCTTACTCTGGAATGGTGTATGCAGTAACAGATAACGACCTGGAAGATGATAACCTAATCAAGTTAGTTATATCTGCCATAAGACTGCAAAGGTGATTAGATGAAAAGTGAGTTTTTATGGATAAGGGAAAACATCTGTCAAAATAATGAGTAGTTTAGTTATCACCCAATCGACCAATATTTTGCTGTTTCGGTTTTGTCAACCGAGTCGTTTCATGCCAGAGCATTTATCTAAGGATCCGCTATATGAACTTGCTTTGATATGAGTGATGTCGTATGTAATCGTTTGGAATCGTATAATTGAGTCTTCGGTGAGACTAGAATATGTGAACTATTTTTGATGGACGACAAAATGACTTGGAGAAAACACCTTACTAGGTTAAAAAGTGTTATACATTAATGTGAGGAATTAGATTGGGAAGTTAGGAGTTAGGGTTTTCATCGCGAACTAACATCAGCTATAATGTCGAGATGTTATTTAGCCATATCAATGAATGTACTTCGCGTAAAGACCTAAAACTTGTTTTTAATTTCATTGGTTCATCCTTAAACTGTAGCCTAATTCTGTCCTAAGTATTCAGTTATGTGTTGTTCCTGACTTTATTTTGCTATCATTTGTCGCTTACGAACTGTTCATATTTCTATTGTGATGGATATTATTTCATCTCATGGACTTCTTATCTTGATTATTTCGTCTTCGTACATTTAAGGGGTAAAACATCTGGGATCGCTACACATTCTTGATCGATTCCATTCTGATAACCGCTTGACTATAATCTATACTTGATTAATAAAGTTATAGAAAATTACTGTAAACTAAATCTCACTTTACATTGGAAAGGATTATGAATAGTTTTTCTCGTGAATATTTATTTCGGGGATCGAAATAACATGATGTAACCATACATCTCACATTTCAGTTCACATAAACATATGGTCTCTTAAGAAAATTGTGATTTTCACGGTGAACTATCCAGACTAGTTGTGTTTTTATTTTTATTTATTTATTTGGACACATAGATATTGGTGCAAGGGGGCACCAGATACATATGCGCCACATAAATCTCATTCGATTTTTGTGAGTGCTGTGATACTACCTGGGTGTCCAAACCGAAGCAGATGGTTTTCATAGGGGCCACACCCAGAGCCTTCAACATAAAGGTCTGATCCACAAGACAGTGGAGCACCGCAAGGAGATGCAATCCCATGGTAGCCAGTTACCAACGATTGGTTCAAACACCATCTATTCCTTCAGGATCCTGGAGCCCATGTGCATGATTGGTTCGGAATTGGGGTTTCCAACTCCCCTAGGTGGACTCTCCTTGTCCACTAATCCGGTTAAAGCACCGGACATTCGCTTTTCGTCCTCTCAATTCGGTAAACAACACTCGATGTGCGAGAATGCAATGAGTAGGAGTTCCCTGGTAGAGGCTATATACGCGTGGCCATGTGAGAAGATTTGGTGAGGGAGAGCGGACTCTCCCCACTCTTGGTCGTACCAGGGCATTTGGGGGCGTTTTTATAGACATACTGGGATTATTAAAGGTGGATTATTTCTGCCAGGGTGATCCATGGTGTGCGTTTCACTTTGCTCTAGACTTCTTGGCTAAATATATTTCGATCCATGTGTTGATGTGTATCTGTATGGTAACCCAGTACTGTTGGACAAGTTAGTAGCTGTCTATACTCATTATTCAGTGAATAAAATAGTTATTTGAAGCAAAAACATATTGGTTTGATATCTCAGTGTGAACATCAAGCTTGTAAGCAGTTAATAGGATAAAATGCCTCATGCTTCATTGCTTCAAAGACTTTGTCATTGAAATGAAATAATCAAATAATAATCGTGGAATTGAATTATTTCTATATTCGTGAGCTTCTAGTATTTGACCACAGATACCTTAGAAATATTGCTCACATCTGATGGGATCACTGGGCAAATAATAGTGAGGTTAGACGTAGGGCATTAGGGAATGATGGTAAATCAGTTGATGAGGTTATGAATCTTCACCAACTGAGATGGTTGGGCCACGTGTTACGTATGCCTGAACACCGATTGCCATGACGCGCAATGCTAACTGACTAGTGTTGGGGATGATTGGAAGAGAGTTGGAGGCGGGCAAACCAAAACGTGGCCTCAGTGCTTGAAGTCACTAACCTCTGGTCTGAGCCATGTTGGCAGATGCAGACTACTTAGTTGGGGTCCGTGTGACTGTCGTAACAAATGGCTGGAGACTCTGAGTGACACGGCTCAGAATCGACCACAATGGCGTAGGTGTATACACTCTCTGTCTTCCCTTAAACTAAGAGATTAAAATCGCTTCATATCTTTCTTTCTACGTACTAAATCTTTCTTCCTGTAGTGTGTTCTTATATGCAATCTTTCTTTTATATATTATCACCACTTCTTTGAATGTGGTGTTTATCTTTTGCTAATGATGCATGGCAACTTGGACCGATGCGCATATGTTCCTGGTCCTACGTTGTAGCTGACTGACAATTGTAAAAAATGAATTAGGTAGGTTCTAAAATGGTTATATCAATAATATATGTATGTGAACTGTCTTCTGTGATCTGAATGATTTGATCATGAAGCTTTCTTTGTTTTTCTGATAATATCAGCATAAATTCCAGGTGGAAGTGTTTGAATTCGTCCAGGAATCCTCTCATTCATTGATAAACTGAGTTGACCTTAGTGTGTTTATTGATTGGTGATAAATCTGTAGCGGTTAAATAAATCCCCAAAATCAATAGCTCTGTAAGTATTTGATATTTAGTGCTGACCGCATTAGTTCTAATGGACTCACCTAGTTGAGGGCACTCGGTCACGAATCCGTACCAGATCACGAGTGGACACGCCTTGATTCACATTTCCTATGACCGCTAGCCAGCTTAGATTGATCACTTCTCGACATATTAATATTCTATCAAATATATCTTCGAACATATTCGCTTTCTATTTTTGATTTGGCTGGTTTAGTACATTTCAATTATAAAAGGTGTTACTTGTTAGAGTGTTGTCAAACTCCGAATACTTGTGACATCTTTAAATCTAAGTGCCAAACCACTAAGAATTATCTAGTCTCCTTTGCATTCCCTCTGTCCAAAATCTCAACATTTTTTCTAGTTGAACACGTGTTTTGATATAAGCGAAGATACATTGTGTCGTTTGACATCTGGTTGCTGTTCAAAAAGAAGAGACTATGGAAAGGGAACCGACTTTGTACGATGTAATATTTCTCGCGGTTAGAGGAGTTTATTTCATAGATAATACTTGAATCTCCTTTTGTTATTTCACTTTGGTTTAGAAAAGATTAAAATGATTTTACTGGTTTATTTGTTATGCTTATACCAAATGATCTTGATAATGTTGAAATTTCTGGTATATTCCCTTTTGGTTGAGATCATGAATCAATTGATGTTAGACCACCACAATTGAAAACCTGGGAGCACTGGACGGCCGTTTCGTCCTAGTACGGGACTCCTCAGCAGTGCGCATCCGCGACCCCGCACCCCGCGGGATTCGAACCCAGGACCTACTGGCTTCGCGCCTGAGCACTTAACCATTAGACCACTGAGCCGGCATCCAATGGTGTTAGTGTCTAACATCAACCAAGTCACGAAATTGCGCGACAAACTTCCATTGTACTGAGGCAGATACCTGTCTCTACCCGACACGGATTAGCTCCACTGGTCACGACTTCTCACTAGAACTCCGAGAATTCCCTCACGAAGCTAGTCACTAGACAATGGTGTACGGTGGCGCAACTTCGTGAATTGGTTGATGTTAGAC